CATACACATGGACATGTGCATGTACATGTACCGGTAGGTCCTGCATATTAAAACAAAACACAGGAAATTTTATCAAAGTATGCGCACATCATTTTTTCTTTTAAGTTCTACCAAACCAATTCAACTTTTTCATAATTGTTATTTCTACTCCAAACAACGTTTCCTGTTTCAATACTTCAGCATCTAGTTCTAGACCCACCAGTACATGAACATGCTCTTATTTTCTCCAGAATTAATTTCCTTGGCTGAAATTCGGACTTCCCTTTTCTAAAACTCTTTCACTTGCGACAGATCAACCCACCTTGGAAATTCCTAGTTTTTGAGTAAAATCCATATATATCTATTTGTGAAAACCTTGTGGAGACGTATCATCTATAAATTGCCCTGTGGAGACGTATACAATCTTTTGTCCCCTATTGTGTGCATGTCTCCAGAGGGCACGGTGTATCAGATCATGTACATTGTGATTCACATGATTTTGTACACTGAGCCAGTGCGCACATATGGCCCAAAGAACATGATCTTAAAACTAATGACACATAGCAGTAACAATCCTCTTAATGAGCCCTTTGGGATTTCATGCTAATGCACATGTATAGCCCTGAATGAGTACTGTGTCCTAGAGGATTTAATACAGAAGTATGTATGCATACATATTACATACATGTAGTACCGGTGCATTAATTACAAAATTATGTACACGTATTGTATGCATACACTGTATGGGTGTAGAGTTGATGTACCGTACATCGTACATGTACTGGCCACATGTATACAAGTACCGGTATGTTACAAACATTTAATTTAGTGTGCAGAGAACATGTACTGTAGCTTAACTTGCATACATGTGTAGATCTACAATTCCAAGCTTTTGCTACATTTATCTGCAATTGTTTTCCTCTCAAGACTATACATGTAATAGTGTAGGCAATAAATCAATAAAGCTTACTACACGGGAAGGACACAGCCTTGGTGCACACATAAACCACTGTATCTCCAATTTTTGCTAGCCTCACTGTCAATTTTTACACACATATATATGCACACACCCTGCTACTAGTCACTTTAAAGGGAATACAACATTTGCAAACATCAGAAAACAAAACTACCACATTTTTACAAAATACCTTACTAGGATGTTGGTACCGGTAAATGACAGTCTAAAGCATCTTGTAAAATTATTTATGGCACCTGGTGTGAAGTTATTTTCAAGAAAAGAGGTATTTTTGTATATAAATTGTCGGCCGACCACCGTTGGAAAAAACTTAACTATTTTTCAGCTACTGCTCCAAATTTACCATTTTTTTTTCAGTCAAAAATTTGTTTGCTATTGGTTACATGTTCATGAACGGGTGCAGGCCAGCTAGACTGGTTCCCTTACCTTACAATTTTCCGGCATCTATAAAATGAACAATTTCATCTTTATTGGAGTCAGAGAACCAGACTACTTGAACATTTTTGTTTTTCTTGGTTTCTCCAGCATTTTCGAACACAAAACCTCAAACATATGTCAGTGTAACAATACTTGATATATTATACTAACCCTTCAAATAGTTCAAATTTCTAAATATTACAGCAAACGCCGATGATGTACATTCCCTTTAAACAGAGACCTAAGTGCCACCACCCATCACACTCACACTTCCAACTGTCTGGTCTGGATCCTTGACCCCATGGGCCTGATATTCTACAGCGCAGTCACCAGAGATTACCCACCAGACACTAATTGGCCAGCTGTCTTAATTTTTTGGCGCTCCCGTTTCCCCTTTGTCTGTGGGCTGCAGCCGAGTGAATGCGGAAGCCCAGCGCTGCCAATAAGGATCTCATTAGGAATGTGATACCTCACTATTTTTTAATGACCTTTTTTTCCCCTTCTTTTTTTCTTTTTTTTTGGTGCGCTTGTGGTCTTTTAGAGTTGATACTGGATTTCATTTCCTGGGTGGACTACGAAAGCTGTAGTGTCGTTTGTCTCACTTTTCATGAACACTGGTGCTCAGTTTCTAATCAAAATGTGAAATTCTATGAGAATTTGTTTTAACAAAATCAAAACATATGGGGCAACGCTAACAAAGCTGTGCACGGATGTCTACAGACATACTTCAAATTACAAAAATAAGTAGCACAAGGGTGGAAATCTAAAACCGGTTGAGAAATTAAAAGCAATTTTTAAGTACTTTTTCTTGCATCACAATGTTTTGACTTTTGTCAACTTCATGTAAAAAATACAGGATCGCAGCTTTTTTTTGGTGTGTGCTTGTGGTCTTTCTGAGTTGATACTGGATTTCATTTCCTGGGTAGACTACGAAAGCTGTAGTGTCGTTTAGTCTCACTTTTCATGCACATTGGTGCTCAGTTTCTACTCAAAATGTAAAATTGTATGAGAATTTGGTTTTTTTACAAAATCAAAACATATGGGGCAACACTAACAATGCTGTGCACCGATTTCTACAGACATTTTCCAAATTACAAAAATAAGTAGCACTACTGGTAGGGTGGAAATCTAAGACCCGTTGAAAACTTAAAAGCAATTTTGAAGTACTTTTTCTTGCATTACGATGTTTTGACTTTTTTTTCAACTTTTGTAATAAATACAAGATCACAGCTTGTTTTTGGTGTGTGCTTGTGGTCTTTTTGAGTTGAAACTGCGGATTTCATTTCCTGGGTAGACTACGAAAGCTGTAGTGTCGTTTAGTCTCGCTTTTCATGCACATTGGTGCTCAGTTTCTACTCAAAAAGTGAAATTGTATGAGAATGTGGTTGTTTTTTTACAAAATCAAAACATATGGGACAACGCTAAGAACGCTGTGCACCGATTTCTACAGACATACTTCAAATTACAAAAATAAGTAGCACTAAGGTGGAAATCTAAAACTAGTTGAAAACTTAAAAGCAATTTTGAAGTACTTTTCTTGCATCATACTTTTTTTTTTTTGGTGTGTGCTTGTAGTCTTTTTGAGGTGATACTGGATTTCATTTCCTGGGTAGACAACGAAAGCTGTAGTGTTCTTTAGTCTCGCTTTTCATGAAAATTGGTGCTCAGTTTCTAATCAAAATGTGAAATTATATGAAAATTTGTTTTTTTTACAAAATCAAAACATATGGGGCAACGCTAAGAATGCTGTGCACCGATTTCTACAGACATTTTCCAAATCACAAAAATAAGTGGCACTAAGGTGGAAATCTAAAACCAGTTGAAAACTTAAAAGCAATTTTGAAGTACTTTTTCTTGAATCTCGACGTTTTTCAACTTTATGCAACAAATACAGGATCACGGCTGTTTTATTGTAAGTTAATAAAAGTCATGCAGCAATTCCAACATCCAAATTAATACCTGTTTTAAATTTTGATCGAAATGAAATTTGTCCGAACACAGAACTAAAAAGTATAAATCCCATTATTTCTATCATAGTGTTCTAAATCAAATGATGTTTTATTGTTTCCTTTGTTTCCAATAATGAATTACATGTAAGTTTCTAATGGTTCCTGTTGAATTGACCTATCGCGGTAGAATCGCGTTAGAATCAAGTCGACGCAGCTTATGAAATATTGTCCAATTACATGATATGGACGCGGAACGCGCAAAATCTGAGACAATAAAACTTACCGTAGTGTACAAAAACTCAAGGGTAGTCAAGGGTAAAAGGTACTTAATTGATGGTTTTGGGTGATTTTTCCTCATTTTTTCCATAAAAAACAATTAGGGTAGGGGCTGTCAGAATAGGGTAGGTAGGGAAACCGGAAGCAGAACTATTATATTTTTGGCCTGATCTATCAATCAATATTTGAGAAATTGGACCTCTTATAAACAAATTCTGATAATAATCATAACTTAGGTAAACAACTTTGATTTTGTTATTTAGACTTTAGAGTACAAAGTTCAGTCTTTGTAGTCAGGTAGTATTGTTATTGTAGTATTAGTCTGCGAGAAGCAAAAGGGGAGAACCACTACATCACCTTTATTTTTGTTCTTATCAATTGAATCAGTTCTAGGAAAGAATGTTGCAACCTGTCCTGACGCCACTTTTTTCCTTCATATATCATCTCAATAAAGGTCAGTCATTGCAAAAAAGTTGAAAAGACATGAATCTGAGACTGAGAAACATTTACAATTTTGTTAGGAAATACTTAGAAAAATTTCTTGACTCTCCATAGACTTTGTACATAACCGCTGAAGTGGCGTCTGGATACTAATTCTTTCCCAGTTTTATATTAATTGTTATTTTTATCAAACAAATATCGCTTTCTATTAAGTATGCAAAGAAGGAATCATACAAATTTAACTGCAAAAGTCTGCATATTATTATTATTAAATATAAATCCACTTTTCCCAGGCAGGCTTTTAATTTTTAATCATGACTCCAGAAATATGATTAAGCCAAGAATCACTTATTCATGTACTTGTACTTTTTGCACAGCCAAATACGTCATTGACAGTGGAAAGAATGTAATGACTTACATGTGTCGACTGCACACAAAAAGGTATACATTAAGAATATATAGCTTAAGCAACACAACCTAATTGTAACTCACGATATTCAACAAACTCGACAACATCACAGTCCCAAAATTTCACAAACCCATATTGGCAATGTTAATGACAGAGGGATTAGAAGTGTTAGGCTACATCGGCAGGTCCGTTAATGAACTTATTCAAATTACCTTTTTCAGAATGTAATAAAACTGTCAGACAATCACGACAATCCATATTCCAATTTCCATTTCATCATGTTCAAACAAATCTACATATACGCTTTTTTGTTGTTAAATGTTAAAATTCTGACTTTGATAAAAAAAAATCATAAATTAAATTAAATTAATGTAAAATGAACTTATGTACAGCATGGAGGAATGTTTTTGGCTAGTTGTACATGTGTACAGCATGCCATGGGATGCACATGCACAGCTGAGCTACACAGCAAGTGTACGGTTCGTGTGCATGCTCATCATCGGATAATTTTCGTAGAGAAACAACGCAAGAAATCACCATCAGTTTCACTTACCCGTAAGTCGTATCTTTGTGGGACCTTCCCGACGAGTTGATGGATGTGGCATTGTAGAAATTTGCGATTTTCTTGGACCACTGGAGTTATTTTCTGCCACGTACTCTACAGTAAAATCTTGGTATTCAACATCTTGTTGGTCCTATACTTCACATACAATTCGTTTGTGTGGTCCTGAACTGTGCACACATAATACGTACGGTCCAATGCGTACGTTCGAACGTACGTAAAATATACGGGACGTGATCGTCCTCGGGTTCACATAGCTGGTTGAGTATTTTATTTCGATCGTGTAGTTCGTGTCAAATTCTCTTCCCACTCGTTAAGATTAAATTTGCACTGATCGCCGCCAAATTACACATTGATAAGAACATGAATATTATTATTCAATGTCACAATTTTTCTTTTGTTTAAAAATATCCGTTCGTATTTCTGCACAGCGTGAAGTGACTGTCACATCAACTGTTGGATGAAAGTTCCTGGCTGGTTTTACGTCATTGTCTTTTTTGGAAATCCGCTGATAATCGGAATTCTTCGTAAAAATGTGCAAGTAACAGACGGATACCAGTGAATTTGGGAAGTTCCCTTGTCAGGTCAATCGTGGGCCCGGGGGGGGGGACAATTTTTCTCCTTCAGTGCTGAAAATGAACTATTATCTTTTTCTCAACTTTTGATCCCTGTCTCCCACCACGACCTACCTTTCCCACTTTAGGAATGATATTCAATAAAAACTATCTTTAAACGAACAAAATAAACCGCCAGCATAGCAGAAAGTAAGACGCAAGAGGGCGCGAGACACATTTCGTACTAGACTGATGAGATTCGGCAAATGTTCATGACATTTTAGGCCCTTACCTATATTTTAGTGATTAACACATTGGTTACTGTACTCGTACATGTAGTTATGCTGCCGTGCTGAAGAAAAAGCGATAGAAAATTTGCAGGTTGAATGAGATCTTGATTTCGAAATCTAAGGGCCCGCCTTCCTCAACTGCTTAGAACATGTCTACCACGATTCACCTATAGCTCAATTAACCTAACCCCAAAAATCCAAAGACACGCATGACTACCTTCCAACAAAAGCTTCAACCGACGATTCAACAGCAGAAATTTTCACATGACAATGACGGCCGCCCACCTTACACGCACAGTGACGCACCAGACAAGTCACAAAGCCCTACAGTACCATGTCCGCATAGTGAAAGTAATAGCTAAATGTGGTACAAGTATTTGTGGCGCGCGCATACCTGTTGGACACCTGCAGACTGACGAGATTAATTAATTGGTCATTTCGGCGAAATGGCACACGACACATTGATATTTTAAACACGTAAGAATCGGTGACCTTGCTGTGAAAACATCGACTTGCGATATCATTGACAGCATTTAAAACTTTCATGCGAATCTTGGTGTGCCAGTGGGAAAAAGAATCAGGAAATAAACACCAGGCTTGCGAGAATCATCATGCCGTGGCATCCTCACACCAAAATCCTGCTGGTCTTGTGTTTCGTCGGGCTGGTGGCCTTCCTGGCCACTGCCATGGGTCTAGTCTCCGATTACTGGCTCATCTATCGTCTCGGCAGTGGCACCACGGACGGTGGGAACTCCACCAACGTCAGACTGGCTAGCGCGGGGGTGTGGCGGGTGTGCTACCGGCCGGACGCGCTGCCTGATGATGGTGAGATGCGATCACGGAGGAATACAAAAATGGATGTTGAAGTTTACTGCAATATTTCCTTGTGTTATGATCTCAATTAGTTTGATAATACTTGATAATAGTTTGTTGTTTGGATTTTGTTGTGAAATAAATTTAGTTAATATTTCATTGATCCATATATGTCATGTATGTGACAATTTTTAATAAGCCATGTGATCTTTTTTTGATACATTTTGAAGTGCAAACTGATTATAAGACAAGTCACAAAATATCAGCATATTTTTCCAAATTCTAATAAACTAACATTTTTCCTCCTCCAGGAAAACGATGCCACAACATAAATTACCTTTCCAGAGTACAAGTAGAGAGTGACGACCCTTTGTCCCAGTACGCCTACCCAGTCCATGGAAACGGTAATATAGTAAAACACAATTTTCGGCATAAAATATATTCAATAAACATAATAACTTCAGAAAAAAGTTGGCCAGACAATATGCATATTTTATTCCATTTTAGTTTTAGGAAAAATGTGTGTGTTTTTTTTAATTTAATAAATAAGAAGCCGTTGGATGTTAAAGCTTTTTCCACCCTTTCAACTTTTATTTTCAGATTTGTTGCTGCCATTTTTGATCCTGGTCTGTGTGGGTGTGGCTCTGGTCTTCTTGGCGGAAGCGTTAGCGATGGTTTGCCTCAGGAAAAGATCCAAAATGATGTACATCAGTACAGCGTTTGTATTCATAGTTGCAGGTAATTTCATCACAATGTAACCTCTTAAATTCCTTAAAGGGAATATACATCATTTGCTTTTGCTGTAATTTTCAGAAATGGATGGAATTGGGGGGTTGGAAATATATAGCAAATATAGTTACACTGACTTTTTTGAGGTTTTGGTTTCGAAAATGCTATAAAAACCAAGAAAAACGATCACTTTCCTGTAGTCTGGTTCCCTGACTCCATATAAGAAGAAACAGAGCAGTTTACATACATTGGGGAATTGTAAGGTCAGGGAACCAGTCTAGCTGGCTTGTACCCGTTCATAGGTTTGTAATCGATTGCAAACAAGTGCGATGGTCAATTGGGGCCAGTATTTGAAAAAAGAGCCAGTTGTTTCCAACGCTGATCGGCCGATCAGCGTTGGAAATTGATACAAAAATACCACTTTTCTTGACAATGACAGTATACCAGGTGCCATGATTTTACAGGATGCTTTACACTGTCATTCACTAACAGTCCAGCAAGGTATTTCAAAGTGATTTGGTAGTTTTTTTTTGATGTTTGCAAATGTTGTATTTTCCCTTTAAATTAAGTATAGGCATTAAATTGTTCATACTGGGGCATTTAATTGCCGATGCATTGAATGATTTCACTGAATGTCTAAGTCATGTGACTGGTTAAAATCTTGAATATCATTAAGTTATCATTAACGTTCATTAAGTTATCAGGCATATCAGTTAATTATTTGGCAGAAATTCATTCCTCACTTTTTAAGCGCGACTTTAACACACATTTCACGTTTCTGTCTTTCAGGGCTTGCAGGGGCAGCCGGCCTGATCATCTTCTCGCTGCGCGGGGCTCAGCTCCTCTCCGATTGGCCGAGTCAGCAACAAGGGGAATCCCCCTATGAATACGTCTCGTTCGGTTGGTCCTTTGCGATCACATGGCTGGGTTCGGCCCTGGCTCTTTTTAACAGCTGTGGGTACGTGTGGTTGGCACGGAGGCATTTGGATGCTATGATGTGATCACGAGAGTGCTTTTATACTTTTTTTTGGACTAAGCTACATTTTAAATTATGCAAAATCTGGTTCCCTCCGTGTTTCCCTGGATTTCACATGCCCTACTGAGTAGGTATCCCAGCATGCTTTGCTTGAACTTTGACCCTTCCCTTCAAACATCAAGCTATGCTGAATATCCAAATTTTGTTGGAAATTCAGCCAGTCTGTATTTTCCTATTTTCATTAGTCATTTTTCTACTACTACCACTGCTGTAAATATGGACTCACAAAGTGCATGTATTTCCAGCAAATGTATGCAGAAAGAAAAATCACCTGCCAATGCATAATTGAAGTAATTATCATAAAAAAACACATATTTTTTGATATTTAAAATTAAAAGTGCCAAATAACATTAGATTTGATTTATGAAAATGTGGTGTTCGTACACTCCAAATTTTTAATTTGTAAAGTTTTTAATTTTAAAGACATGTTTTTATTTCTGTACTTATTTTAAGACTGAAAAGTCTTTTTTTAATTTTTAATTTTTTTTTACTATAACCTAACAAAATCAAGGGTGGTATTACTCTTGAAGACTGGAAACTGGTACATATGCAAATTTGGCATGTATCATAAATATTTCCAGCAATATTCAGCATAAACTCATCTTATTTTACAATTGCATAATTACCATTCATACCATCTGTTTTGTTCCGTTCTGTTGGACATCAAATACAAAATCAAGCTCGCTAATTACCAAAACATCTGCCCTTATCATTGAAATATGTAAATAAATCCCGAGATTGAATTTAGATTTATATATTGCTCTAGGTGAAATGGACTACGCTTGTACGACACAAAGTTAGTTGCATATGCATGTATACAAAACATCCGAACGTGTTTTAGAAATAATACATTTCCATCATATTTTTAAAAAATGTTTCTCTGTGTTTTATAATAATTATGTGACTGTCGGGGTAAACTGAAGTTTGGACAAACGAAATATTCATTTTGCTCACAATGTTAACCTTACCCTGCTGAATCCAACAGGATCCAACTATGTAACATACCCGATGGAGCCTGTTGGATTGAGCAGTAAACCCCTTGTTTTTGTGTACATTTCTCATGCAAAATGTTGGATTCAGCAGGCAACTGAACTGCATTATAACGCCAAGTTGGACTCCGTTGGATTCAGCAGACAACTGAAAATGAGGCACAGTGGATTGAACAGGAAAGTCCGGTTGGACTCTGTTGGATTTAGCAGGGTAGTCCTGAGGAAGTACTGGGGGTTAGGGTTAATTCATTCTTGAAAAGTAAAATTTGAGTTAGTGTAATTTAATCAGTGACAAGGATTTACATTTGTGATTTGTTTTGCTTTACGACCGAGGACTGGGGACAATAGGTCCTGTGCGATAACAATAACCCCGAGGACCTAGGCCAAATCCTCGGGAGGTTTTCGTATACAAACCTTATGGGACATGTGAAAAAGTACAAACAATAGGAACAAAAGAAGGGAACAATAGGTCCTCACTCCTCATAAGTATAGGATAACACTGGTGATCTTGTTATCCTTTACGACTGGGGACAATAGGGCGTGTGCGATAACAATAACCCTGAGGACCTGAACCAAGTCCTCGGGATGTTTTTGTGTGCAAACCTTATGGACATGTTGAGAAAAAAGTTAAAGAGTACAAACAATATGAACAAAAGAAGGGAACAATATGAGGTCCTAGATTAACACATAGTACTGGGTGAGTTAAAAAAAACACACGAAACCAAAATGTCAGGACTATTGTTTTAGTGAAGTTCTGCATGTAGCACTTTCAAAGTCTCGGATGTAAAAGCCCAATTCATAAGCTTTCTTTTAAGTACAAGAATCATTCAAATCACTCATGTGCTTTTGAAGTTGCGGAATTTTAAACACTACTGTTTTAAAGCTCTGTCCACAGATCACAAGAAGGTAAGTGTTCTTTAAGCAAAACGAAAACAAATCACATACTAAGGGATGTGTGTGAGTGGTTTTCATTCTGCTAAAACAACGCAAATTTTTTTTGTGTGATCTGTGGACAGAACTTTGAAACGGTGGTTGTGTTTAAAAATTCCATAACTTGAAAAGTACATGAGTGATTTGAATGATTCTTGTACTATAAGAGAGCTTATGAATAGGGCTTTCATAAAGTTTATGAATTGGGCTTTCATATCCTGGATTTTGAAAGTGCTACATGCAGAACTTCACTAAAACAATAGTCCCGACATTTGGGTTTCGCTTTTTTGACTCGCCCTGTATAGGATAACACGACTGTGTGGGCGGGCCGTCACCGCATAATGGGGAAGATTTTTGTTAAGACCGAGTTAAGAGGACTTTCAGCTGTCCCCACAGCATCTTCGGTCCCCATAGTACCATTGGACACCCGCGTGTAGTCCCCACAACATAACATGACTGTTTGGGCGGGCTGTCACCGCGTTATGGGGAAGTTTTTTGTTAGGACCGAGTTAAGAGAACTTTCCGCTGTCCCCACAGCGTCTTCGGCTTCCGTAGTACCATTGGACAACCCGCGTGTAGTCCCCACAACTACGGAACAAGTAATGGTGTACATGAATGGCTTTACGATAGAGGACAGACACACAAAGGGAGACAAAAAATATCCTTCCTGTCCTCAAGCGTGGGGTCTTTTGTTAAAAACGGTCCTCGATCTTACAGCTATGTGCTTAGTCTATGGGAGAGTGTGATATATTACAGGGACAAAGGGAAACACAAAGTGTTGTCCTTGGGCGTATAGAAATTCACAACTGTGTGTGTTTTTGTGTGTGTGGGTTTTTTTTTTGGGGGGGGGGTTTGTACAACACAAAATGTGAAACAGAATTTGATCTGATGAAATATGGTTTAATTGATCTTCAAAACATTAAATGATTAAATGCATTATCAGAAAATTGTAAACAAAATGCACTATTAACATACTTTGTGAGGAGCTACCACCGAATGGGATTGATGGTGGCTGAGAGATTGGGGCAAAAACATCTCTCAGATGTTGGGCTAACATTCCAACTGAAAATTGCCAACAACATAACATGTGCAAAGACAATTTCTTTAAAGCTCGATTGTTTATTTACCAAATATCTGAAAATGAAAATCTGTGGATGTCTATTTCTTCAGTTACATGCATGAACACCAGTTGTCTTGCCCAAATTAAACCAGCTGGAAAGGAAGTTGATTAATGTCATGTACTCGAAAGGAGAAAACTTACATTTCCTTCAATAATGACAATTTTATGTTTATACATCTGTATTCATTTTCCAATTTTGAGGCATGGGTTGAAGAAATAAAATCATTGAATGTGTAAATACATGTACAAACACAATATTGCTGAAACACAAAACTCAGACATTAAAAAAAAAATTGTGTTTGCTCATTCTGACTAATGCCCCTGTCACACAGTGCCATTCTCTAGCCCGTACGTGATATGATGGTCACGACCAAAAAAAAGGCGAAACCTGGCTAGGACGCGGGAAATTAAAAAAAAAATATGGCTCCAGCCTTGGATCCCAGGCAATCCATGTGTGTCCCGTCCTCATCCAGTCCAAGCTGTTCTCAGGCAGTTCTATTCAAGACAAAAGTGGCTCGCACTCCGGTCCCCACTCATTCCTCGTCCCATCCAAGCCGTTGGCGTCAAGTCTATCACATGCTTATCCCGAGCTTACAATGGGTGGAGGTCTGGGTAGGCACTGTGTAAAAGCACGGCATGGACGTAGGAGACTCCTGAGTGAAAGACAGTCCCGATGCAGCTCCGTGCATGCAGTTCTCACAACGATGCTGCCGACCGCCTTCTCGTCGGCCCCACATCCAGGCCGTTCGATTTAAGTCTGGAAGTAAGGAAGGGAGAGGACCTTCCAGTGTCTATCACGACCTATGCAGTCCACCACAAGTCCCCAACACGAGCTCTCCATTCAGAGCAGTTGCAATCAAGTCCTTGTCCAGTTTGGCCGATGTCTGCGGTCGTGACACCGTCGGGATGCCAGAACGGCACTGTATGACAGGGCTTAAGAGGTCACCTACTTAACAAAAAGGCTAACAATGTTTCTCCTTCCAGTCCAGTCCTACATTAAGGCATGCAACTTTCCCCAGGATTGGCCGATTCCTAATTTTAAATTCCTACCAATGCTGTTTGAAAGTGCTTAACAGTAGTAATTTTGTACAGCTTGGAATTTCCTCCTTTTCAGAAATTTACCAAACCACACTGTCTTTTAATACACCTCATACATGTTCATGATCGAGAGCCTAGTTCTCACTGGTCCATTCGCCATCACGTCAGCTGCTGGTGTTGCGGTTTACAAAGCGCATATGCGATGTGTCGCGCACAGGTCAAATAGGCAGGGGTAGTTGATTATCGCACGGGTTACTCGTATGGTAGTCTACTATGCATGTGCTTTACGAAGCTATCGTGGAACTAGCGCAAAAATTTTCGCATGCCCATGCGAACATCCCCCTAGATTCATGAAAAGTTTGGGGCACACGCACAGCAACGTTCTGCTGAGAAAACTGATGTGAAACCAGTTTTTAAGAAATTTCAGTGAATATGTATGAGATATAGTCAAACAAATCAAACATGGTTTGCTTTGGGTGGAAATCGATATCAGCTCTCCTCGGAATTGGAAGTTAACTAAATAGTTCCTGCGACTTCCAATACCTCAGTATTGCAATAACCACACAAAATAGTATCGACTATCAACCCTCAAACCATGCTTTATTTGTATTAACTGTATCCTAACTGGGTCAGATCTTTAGAGATAAAAGATTCATGCAAACTCTACTTCCACTAATACCATTCAGACTTGAGATAAATTAAAAAATATATGTCGTAATAGTTCTTCATGCTGATGCGTTCTGCACCCTGCACCCACTCCGTTCGTTACCTCTAAGTAATGGAGTCTGGGGCGAATTTCAATGCTGATAATCTCACAGAAAAATCTCCGTCTTTTGGATTAGCTTTGTATCAAAGACCAGACCACAGTTTCACTGCATGCAAGTTTTCACAATCATTCAACATGAAATTAATAGCTAAAGATGAAACGTTTGGATATTTTTTTTGTCCAGTCATTTAAGGAAAAATCTCTCTGTACACAGCGCCAACTGACATGCAGCTTCCCCTGCGGCACATCAGGATGAATCTAGATCTGGATAATGATATAAATTGCTGCATGCTTACTTGAATTAAAAATCCCTCACAAAAGGGAAATAAAATTTAAATTGAGCTTGAATCTTTCCCACCTGTCTTTTAGAGTGAGATGCCAGCAATATAAAGTTTTACACAATGCCTGAAAAAATCCCCATCATTGGATTGGTGGTTCATTGATCATGTGTGATCGAATTATTCGTCCCAACTCAAGCTGCGGCCGCCCTGAAAAACAAAAGGTCTATTCCTTAGTGAATAGAACTTCCATTCCACAGTCACACTATTGGTTGCACTACAACACAGCTCTGATGACTCTGATGCTGTACATTTCAAAGTACCAGTTTACAAATTACCAATCAGACGACGAGGATTCATTCAGGTATTGCATTAAACAAATAATGAATGTTTCACACTCGTGCGATGGAAAGAACAATTTCATGAGGTGACAGATGCAATGTTCCATTCACCTCATGGAACGGAACATTTTATACAACAGCCAAGTAAATCCTTGTCATTTGATTGGAGGATTGTAGGTCATGCGGCATTTATCAATCGAACCATTGCACGGCCTACGTCATAACCGTGCATTTTTGGTTCCATTCACAGTGCATTTTCATCTCATCCCTTTTGGTCTATTGCACGCTACGCGCAGCGGCAGGGCGCTATACGATCTTTGCGCTATTCAGACCATAGCATGTGTTATAGCAGTAGAAAAGTTGCCTTTGAAGTTGATGCAATTGCCTTGAATAATGTTTAACTTACCATGTCAATTTTCATTATTGTCAATGATTTGGTTTTAAACCTTGAACAAGCTGGAAAAAAAGAAGTGGATATGATACAATTTTGTGAATTTTGTTCGTTCTTAAAGTTTTATCCTCCAATTGAATGACAAGATCTATTTGGATGTTATATAAAACAAAAAATGAATGTTTTGCATTCGTGCAATGTTGAGAATAATTTCATTCTTTGAAAGATGGAATGTTACATTCAACTCGATTTGCCTCGTTGAATAGAACATTCAATCTGCCAACTCATGAAAATATTCTCACCATTGCACTCATAAACATTCATTAGTTGTATAATATTACACCGACATTTTCTTCAACCTTCTCAGTACCACACTGGGAACAAGGTGGACTTTCAGATCCCTATACACTATGTAGATTAAAAAGCTGCACAGACAGGAATATTCCACATCTAGAATCTGGAGGTGTAACATAACCTTGGACTAGGCATGGAGGTGGATGGGGTTATGAACATTGTAATAGGAATACCAGGTATCTTCAACCTATAGGAAAAATGTCCCCTATTTACAGCTTTAGGTCTGCTTTTTGTTTATGTCCTACAAAAGTATATATTTTCCCATCTATTGGGAAGGGCAGAGTTGTGGTCAAGTCAATCTAAGTAACAGGGGATAAAAAATGACATGTTAATGAGCTCCGTGCACAAACAACAGAGGGTTTGCCCACGTATAGCGCGAAGCAGTGCACGACTAATTTATTCTGAATGTACACAAAGCCATGGCCTCCGTGCGCTAACAAAAGAGGGCGCATTTTTACAACTTCTTAGAGCCCCTTGGACGGGACATCGCGTGTGCGTATTGTACTGGTTTGCGCGCAAAGTACGCACGACTTATTTATCCTGAATGTGCAAAAACCTAAGCCATAGCATCCTTGTGCGTGAGCGTCAGGCGTCGTCGGGGCGTGAATACGTTCTAATTTAACTTGCGATGGTCTCCCAGACTAATCCCCACCCCAATAACGTTGGATCATTCGAAATAGGCAGTGGATGGACCAGGAACCAGTCTGGGTCTCCCCCAACTCTCCTTTTCTGGCCGTTGAAGGGGTACTTGTGCACGGAGCCCATAGGGCGTTTTCGAATCCCTGTTCTTGACAACACGCGTGTAACACGAGAACGTGTTCTCGAGCTGATTGTTACGAACGCGCGGGTGCGTGTCGCATCGATATAAAGCAATGCAAAATGGCCAACAATCGTCTGAATTTGTACTTAGGCCTATTCCAAATGAACGAGGACGACTGTTGCAAAACCGGACATGCGGGGATGAAATTGCAGACCTGCACTATAAATGGTATTCTTATTCCAATCATTAGGGTATTAGCAAAAAAAACAACACACAAACAACTTGACAATCTGCACAGTCCGCCATTTTGTTCAAGCTGCACCTCGCCGAACCCTCCATCAACCGGGGAGTGAAAAATTCGATCCGCGAACGCCCTCTTGGGTCTGTTCGTCACATTCGAGACCGCTGTTCTCGTGTCGGGTTAACCCGAGTGTTGTCAAGAACAGGGATTCGAAAACGCCCATAGTGTCTTCAGCAATGCGTTTGACTGTCTCTCTGTGTGGTCTTCCCCAACTATCCCCTTTCCTTTCGTCGAGGGGGTATTAGTGCACGAAGCTCATAGCTTTACACAACCCTTTCCAACCGGCATTTCAGAGTCATGCCGAACCACTTGAATGGCTCGGGTCGACCAAACTAGAATTTGGTTTCAGACACGGGAACTTTGTATTATTAATTTTCCATTGACTAGATCTTGAAAGACTGTTGATTTTGTGTGTGAAGTCATTTCTAATTTTTAATGATAATAATAACATGGTGCTTATATTGGGCTTTATACCAACGGTCTCCAAGCACTTCACAATTATTAAACCTGCTCATCAGGCAATGAGAGCAGTTTTTTTTCTGCAGCAGTTGGAGATCTACACAATGTGGTCTCTACCTTCACAGGTACCCATTTATACTCCTGGGTGGAGAGAGGCAAGTTTAGTAAAGTGTCTTGCCCAAGAACTCAAAGATCATGTTCCCCGTCAGGGTTCGAACCCACGTACCACGGCACACGAGTCAGACACTGTAACCACTGGGCCACGGCACTCCACTTTGAGGTGAACTCTACTTTTCAATTAGTTCAGCGTTGCTCTGGAATGCCAGTGTGCAATGGGCGTTACTTGACCTGAATGACTGGCAAGTGACCTGTGATTGACTTGACCTACCACTCTGACTACAATAGATCGATCCAATAAGCCCCGCCCACTGCACATGTGGGCAATTAACACATGCTGTGATTGGTCAGAACACAACGGGGGCGGGGTTTAATGGATCAGTCTATTCTGGAAAAGGGGATTCCAAGTCCGTCATTACTCACCAAACTGCCCCTGCTACCTCAGTCATTCCCTCCATAATCTTTAATAAATTGCATCATTTTTCTGTACACAAAGACCCTAAATAATTCCATGTTATGCCTTACATCATTGGCTCTTGTAGTATCTGTAGAACACGATACCTCCAACGGCCACCACGGCAGCACAGATGCCCACCTTGAGCCAGATGGAGTGGGATTCTTGGGACACGCCCTTAAGATGCCTGCAAAGACATTGAAACAAAATCACGAAATTAAGGAAGTTAATGCATAATACAGCAAGCAAACATCGAAGCTGAGGAGCCGAAAAAAATAAATCACGGTAAAGCAACTGAGCATTTCATCCAAGGTTGCCTGAGAAGCATGTGTCACTGTATTTTCATTCTATGTATACATAATGGTGCATTCGAGCGTGTTACTCTTGCTACTCCCGAGTGCAGGAAAATGTTGCGTGTGCAGTACTCTCGGTGCAAGAGTATACTCCCGGACTGAGCGAGAGTACACTCTCGCTTACCCTGGGGCCGTTCTCCTGCTGTTCGTGTGCTCAAGAGTATGTACTTGTGTTAACAAGAGTAACAAGCTCGAACGCACCCAATGTGAAAATAAACAACAATCCATCATTTCAAGCATTCAAAAAGTTCATACTCCATAAATATACAGAAACAAAATGCATAATGTATGTATGCCACAGATACAAGTACGTAGCAAAAAACATGAAAAAAAACACATTAAATACATGTAGGTCTGCTTGATAAGTTGATATGCATCCATAAAATGAAGCATGCATGTGGCCTGTCTAGAAGGGATTTTGATGTTACTGAGGTTATTTTAAACCTAGACCAATGGATCAAGAAATTATGAAAATCATTGTTTTGTAAAATTCTGCTGAGGACGCCACACTTTTGTTGAATTCTGAATTATGCTTGATTTCATCAAGTAGCATGAGAAAGACCTAAATGAGAGTTAGGCAAAATGCTAAATATATGCATGATAATTTTTTTAATTTGTGGTTACAGTGTCATGCAAATCTGTATGCCATTTGAAGTTTATCACTTTTTGCATACAATATCGTTTTGAGATTTAAGATAAAACACAGTAAATAGATAATGAAATACATGTGCTTGAGTACAATTTATTTGTATTTAATCATGTCTACTGTGTTAGTTTCACTGAAATGTCATGTACAACTGGTTGAAATCTGGTTTGATAAGATATAAATTAAAAAATTTCAAGCACAATGCAAAATAATACTATTTCTCGAAACAAATGATATTCACTTTACATTCACATTACGAATGGTTCATTCCTTCACATGCTTCACATAGTGTACAAGATGCAGACATTACACAATCATCTCAATGAAATCATAAACACCGACGACAACTCAAAAAGTCATTCTCTTGCTGGAACACATGGCCAGAAAAGCAAGAAACACAGACTGGAAAAGAGTCAAAAGGAAGGAAAAGGTAAAGAGGAAGATGGTGTCAAAGTAAAGGAAAAAAATGAAGTGGTGAGAAAAGAGGGAAAAAATGACGGCGAAGGTTTGGTAGAAGGGCACAAGATCATCGCTCACTCATGGGTATTTAATACCAGTAACGGTGAAAGTACTGTGCCAACCACTGGACAAAATGGCTGCCCTGTTACGCTTGTTAGAGAGCTATCCATAACCATTATCAACCATTCAATTGTTTCGCATTGTGTACATGTGCGCACATTGCAACCGTTGCCAGGGCTCGAAATATCCACTGGACCGTGGACCGTGTCTAGTGATTTCAGCGTCGGTCTGTGACGCCCAAATATACTAGCAGTTGAGGTCTGATTAATGGCGTGCTTTGAGTTCATTACTTGATTGATTAAAATTACCGACCAAAAAACTCCCTATTGTAAAAAATAGTTCAGGTCTAGTAAGATTCTTTAGTTACTAGACCTGCTGTCTAGTGCTTTTTTTAAATGAAATTCGAGCCTTGAAGTTGCCAATAAAAGCAGTAATCCAAAATGGCAGCCTTCGACCAAACCCTCATATCTGCGGCTTAACCTGCTTTGAAACACCTGGCGCAATATATGTTCAGCAATTCACCCCCTTTCAAACAAATCATACACGATTAAATAACTTATCAGTAAAAGAGGGGGAAAATCTACAATTTACTATGCGTTTCACGCTGGCACTTCGTGCGTGATGTATCCGTGCCCTGTGCACGCGTAGTGGATAGCGAGTTATAATAAGATAAGTTGTTGCGGTAGCACCATGTGGTAAATCTCTTTTGTGAGTATGTGTGGTTCTGAAAAGAACCAGAGGGTACTCAACGTTTCCGACAGTATGCTCTGCCCGTCGTCAGAATAGCGAGTTGCACATGACGTCAAAAGACCACACAACCTGATGGCAAATCTGGTGCGTTAACCGTATAAATTGATTCTGTTCGCTTGCAAAACCTCTCTATTCTGAACAATGGTCGGCTAAAACGCTCATGTAATTACTGCGTTACTCGGTGAGTGTGCAGCAGTCCCATGCTGAGATTAGTAGTGTATAACATGGAAAAAGGTATGAAAGCCGAATGATAAATGGGTATAAAACTAAAATAAAACAATGAAAACAGGGAGTTTTTTTTTTGGATAAAAGAATGACACGAGAGGAAAAAGAAACTTGGTGAGATGATCAGAGCAAGAAGCTTAGAACAAGAGACACATCCAGAGGAGGGCGGGCAACAGAGAGCGAAGAACACAAAGAAACCTTGAGCCAAGAGGGCCGGAGGCTAGCATCAGCTTGTCTCTGATCCACAGGGCGGCTGGGTGCTCCACCAGGACCCCCTTAACAAGACTGTAAAAAAGATGGAGGGGCGGGTGTGATGTGGAGAGAGAAGGCGGCGGGGGATAAACAAAGAGAAACAAGATGCTATATGGGTGTGTTCAGTGGCCCCTTGGGGTTGAGTGTGTGGGGTATGTACTCGGTGTGTCATGGGATAGTGCTGTTGGTGATTTTACATCCCAACTACAGCAACCGCCCAACTTTAGACAAATCGGAGTACGCTAACAAGTCTATCGTGGAGGCCCCCTTTAATGGCGAAAGCATTGTGCTAGCTATTGTCCAGATAATCCATCATGGGCCAGTTGCTTTGTACAATACATGTAGCACGCACAATGGCTTATCCATTAAAGGGGGCATCAGAGAGTTCATTGATCACGTACCCGGATTCAATCATAGTTGGGGCAATTGCTTTAACCCTAACCTTCCCAAATCCTCCAAAATCCTCTTTGCAAAATGGAGGATTTTGCAGGATTGAGGCTATATGGCAAAATGTACGGCTGATTCTGGAGGATGCACTGTTTCAAGGTCTTAGGCTGAGACCTTGTGTTGTTTATGCTCAGCCATACATACATGTATACGCTTAGATTATACTTGGAACTTCCGCACTGCTCCAGGATATCACTGGCTCTGCCTCAACATATTGACAGTCATAGCCGGAGGATTTTGCAGGATTGAGGCAGTGGTCACCCCTCCAAGGACCACATTCAAGAAATAACAGATAATTTTGGAGAATTGAGGCTGTTGCAATCTTTACATGGATGCAGTTGGAGGATTTTGCAGGATTGAGGTTGCATCCTAGCAAAAATGCCTGGGGAGTTAGGGTTAATTGGGATGGAACTGTTGGATTATCTGGAATAGGATTTTAAAAGCGAGTTCTCAACTTGGGGATTGCATTGGATGAATTCAAATTTTCTATGAAAAATCATGTAATAATTAAAGTATGACATGTCTGCCAAAAAAGTTCCAACTGATTTGTTTTGAAGTGTCAAACAATTTACATTGATACTAAATAGATACCAAATATTTAAATAATAAATCAATAAATGCGCTCAGTGTTTAGGCAACAAATAATACACAATTATATTTTCCTTATGAAATACATATTTTCAGTTAATTTCAATGTCACTGTGGCATCAATGTCAGATCATACTGAACGGAAAAAAATGAAGTATAGTGCTTCAATATTGGGAGGTGAGTTTTGTAATTGTTGGGCAAGGTGTGGCAGACAAGGTTAAAGAAGCCGTTGAGAAACACATCTCAAAATAACAAAGCTCAAAGTAATAATGTGCAGCCATCATAAGAGAACATATCAGTGATGCTTACTACTGAAGAGATCAGCAAGAATAAGCTGCCCATGCATTTTATGCCTTCTTGCTTACAAAACTAATAAAAGTAAACTTGCTACGGTTCACATTTCCAAAGCGGAAAAATTATAAAAAAAAAATTACTATTTTGCTAGAGTACATGAACTTTGCAGGACTAAATATGTCAGGTCTAGGATACCAATGAAAAACATGTCTTCCCTTGCCCTGATCTTTATCATGGTCTTTTGAAATATTCCCCCCAACTTTTGAATTTTTAACTAGGCCCTTTTGAAAAGATACACCCATTTGACTATGAAATGCTTACATATCTGAAGAAGGTAGGATTCACGACAATTAACCCTAACCACCCCAACTCCATAAAAATCCATCCCCAATGTTGGTGGATTTTTGGGGACTTGGTCCAGTAGGCCTGGTGTGACTAAATATTGATGGAGTATGATGGACTTGGGCCTAATGGCCTGAAGCAGTGCTAGGGGTATCCGATTGATTTTGCCTAGCTTCCTGTACTGCTATTGTGATAAAAGCCATGTGTATTAAGTCCATGAATGTCAACCAGTGCGTCAGTGGTGGATTCCATTTATGTCATGTACAGTTTTGTATTGGACGCACAGTGATTGATGGATTTTGATGGACTTGGTCCAGTTCCTAGTAAAAGACGCTGGGGAGTTAGGGTTAAAATCCAGCATATATTAGTTTTTTTTATCTCGAAACCGTGCCAATGAATAGTATCTACAGATTGTGACGGTATTTCTTGATGTGCAAATTTACAAGAAAAGAAGTAAAGATCATGCATAGTTTGTGCTGTGAATAGCTTGGCGTGACAGAAGACGAACAACTTCAGTGAGTACTAGGGGTGTGCATCGGAACCAGCTACCCGAGTACCCGACCGCTAACGTCAGGAGCCGGTTCCAGATTATGGGATCGAGATACCCGAAACCAACTTTACAAAGTACTATTTACTTATCAAAAAATCAAAGCGGCCTGATATTTCAGCCTCAGCAATGCCTTCTTCAGAGGCAAATTGTTAGTAACTTCTCAGACAATGAAAAGGGTACTGTATGCCATTTTTAGAGAATTTTCAAAATGAAAACCAGGCTACATGGACAATCAAAACAGATTTCACGTTTATGCGTATTTTAAAGTGGCAAATCCTTTCACCGGCACTGTACACCATTGTATCTTGCTGCACTGATGCGCCGATGTGGAAGTTTTATCGTGCCGACCTTTATGAATAATCTAAACAGCAACTTCCGAGATTTGAATTTTGGGATTAGGTTTCTTTCACAGGTACCCGGGTACCCGTGTTTTACTTCAATAGGGTACCCGGTTCCCGTAAATGCACACCCCTAATGAGTACTGAATTGGAAAGGTTTGAGAGCAGTGTGTGTGAAATAGGTAGCTGTGCAAAAAGACGGGCAACAAAAACAATTAATTCCTGTACACCATGTCACCTATGAGTTCACGCCTGGCGGAACCGACAAGCAAAACAATTAAAACCCAAGTGTATTTCTGTTTTTCTCCTTTTTTTGTATACAGTGGAATGTTGCTATACGAACATTAGACTATACCAAACATCGCCCTTGGCTCCCACTTTTTGTGTACAACACGTACCGAACATTGTTGTTGAAAATGTCAAGAAAAGAGCGACAAGCGGCTGTTATTTCCCCAAGGAATAGCCACCCATTGCTGTAGGTAGTAAGCTCAAAACTGTGTAATTACATAATTCAATAGTCAGCACGTGTTCAAAGTTGTCTTTCAGTAACTACCAATGCATGCAGGGTGAAGTTCTGAAGGGCGCTATTTATTGAAAAGTGAGTACCAGAGCACCGGCAGCTTAAAATCGCTATACCGAACGATCGCTATTGTGAACAATTTCTGTGGATCCCGTGATGTTCGTTATAGCAGCGTTCCACTGTACTGTCTTCTCCCCCTTTTAAGCTCATCCATATGTACATTTTGAGGACCATGCAGTGAAAGGTGGCTTGCAGTGAAAGGTGGCTTGCAGTGAAGGATGGCTTGCAGCAGTGCGTTCCAGCCCCACCCAACTAAGCCTGTGTAACCAAGTGAGGGGAACTTGTGCATTTGTAGTCTTATACTTACGGATATGCAGCCAGGGTTGCCAGCTTGATGTAGATGTCTTTGTTGGGTCTTCCTTTGCTGGAGTAGGTCTGGGGAGGCGGCAGGTTGTGACTGGCGCAGAACTGGGCCGGCTGAAGGGTGTAGTTCTGCCGGACCGGATGCATGTCGCTCTTGGAGGCCACAAACAGGCAGGGGATGTGGCTGCTCTCAAAGTGTTGCTGTGAAAAATAAAATTGCACGATTGTAGAATTTATGCATGAGCATAGATTCGTCACCACTCACAAGAGCTCCAATGTGATGGACTCATTGAGAGAGGGCACTAATTCGCATATGAATGGCACCAGGCACGTCATAATAATAGTACCGGAGTCTTATATAGCACACGTATCTACCAACAATTAGGTACTCAAGGCGCTGGAAATGTCAATTACTAAAGAAAAGTAAATATAGTTTATGAGAAAAATATGAGACCCATTATGTAGCACTTTTAAGGGTTTAAAAGGTGCTAAGGTGCATTATTGCAGCCACTGCCAGAAACACCGGGGTAAACCCCTTCTCTTAGCGATAAGGCCAAAAAAATAAAATAGTCGGTCTCTGGTCAGACCGAAGTTTCAGAATTGATGCGGCGACGCGTTTTTTTTGGGGGGGGGGGTGGCTTTTTTTTTTTCAAGCTTGTATTGTACAGACAAGGTGGGTACTATTTTGCTTTTTTGTGTCCTCATTATACATTGGTGTCCTCCATAATTTGCCTTGGGGCCCTTTATCATTTGCCTTGGTGCAATTTCCCCATTCCTTGGTGCTCTTTGGTACAAAAATTTGAGGAGGCGCGGCAATAGAGGGCGCTGTTGTAGCTTCCGTGTTAATTTGAAGAAAAAAAATCGACATGCGCGCTGACCAGAGACCGAGTAATTTCTTTTTTTTGGGCCTAAGTGTTCTTTAACATGCATTACACAACACAAGGGACCTACGGCTTTGCATCCCATCTGAAGGACGAAGCAAAAATGGTAAAGTGCCTTGCTCAAGAGCACAAGCACCATGTTCCCAAAGTCAGGATTCGAACCCATGTACCACGGCACACGAGTCGAACACCGTAAGCACTGGTCCACAGCACCCCATCTGATTTCACTCAGAATGTGCACGAACCAGCCACCAGTAAATCAAAAGTCCAGTCACAAGTCCAGTCACAAGTCCAGTCACAAGCAACAGACCACGAACAATGCCTTTTTAAAGTTCATTTGAATAATTTATGACTTAAATTGGGACTGGATGACGTGTGTTGGACTTTTGAGGACTTTGTGATGACTCGACTACAACACTTTTTGAGATAAAAATGAGTAAGATCCAGAAACTGAGTAAAGTTTTGAACAGTTTGAAACTTACCTTGTAACTCTTGGCACAATACTCAAAAGTCCTTGGATCGGAGATGTCATACATGAGGCAAACCACGTCACACTCCAAGTCCTCTGATGTCAGCTCATCTTGGAGGCCTACATCAATCTCATGCAACTGAAGTAAGAAGGGAGGAAAATATGCACAATAAACGTTACAAAACTTGAGATACCTTCAACGCTTAATGAAGTACCACTCGTCATTCTTTGTACTTTAACTTTCAAGCGGTTTCATTATGTTCTTTCGTTTTCTCAACAATTCAAATGACGTTGAGCTAAAGGCTCTAACCGGATATCATTGCACTATTAAACTCATAATGACATAACTTTCTCAAAACTTTCTCAAAACTTCCTAAAAAAAGTACAACTAATGAAACAATAGAAGTACAATTGATGTGAAAATAGATATGATTTGAGTTTACTTTTGAATTAGTGGATGGATTTGCAATGACGAATATTGAGAGGGAGTGAGTTCCAGCATCTAAGTCCTGCTACAGAAAAAGCCTTGTCACCTGCGTGTTTGAATGTGCATCCTATTTTTAAGTTTTGCTCTGAGCGGAGGCCACTTCGGTTAGGCATGCTGAGGTCTAGTGAATCTGTTAAGTAATTTGGATGTGTGTTTGCTAGTGCTTTGTACATATTCATTGCTGTTTTGTAGACAGTGCGCTTTTGCCCAGGTAACCAGTGTAATTGTTGAAGAAGTGGTGATGCACGACAGTGTTCGGGTTGAGTGTTTATTTAGGCGAGCGGTGTCAGATTGTTCCATCCCACTGAGGAGAGAATTACAATAGTCTAGTCGTGACAAGACCAGAACTCTCACAGCAGCATGTAATGTGTGTCAGAGTCGATGTATTTGCAAATCCTGGATATGTTTCGCAGGTGACAGTTGATTGATTGGCATGCATTGTGATTGATTTGCACGTAATGTCCCTCCCAGTGGTCTGAGGGGGGTACGTGTGCACCAAGTCCATTGTCAACACAGGGTTTAATGTGATCATTTGAAAATCCCTGTGTCCTTACCAGGAGGTGTTTCTCCTGTCCGTACACCTGTACCGTACTGATGGTGTAAGCCGACAGGTGTTCCTTCAGTGAGTGAGTGGCGGAGTCCACCGTACGATTGGTCAATCCCTGCAGGAATGCCGTCTTGCCAGCGCCCCGCGGACCGATCACATTGCACTGGAACACGTTGCGGGAGGTCTGGCGCTTCTCCAGGTCAATCTTCTTGGCTCTGGACACTGCGCACAACAAAGATGAAGACTTTTAAACCTGGGTTAGAAGTAATTTTGCTGTATAGACCATTATCATGTTGCGGCCATCTTGATTTTTTCTCATTCAAGTCAACGTAACCAACGTGAGGCTGGAAGGAAAAATAGTCTGGTTCCTTTTGCATACCAAAAAATATCATTCAGTACTGTTATTGGATACAGGGAACATGACTAAAATGGTGGCAGCATAATAAAGGTCTTTTAAAAAAATTGATTTTTACCATTTGCTAAACACGTTCATAACAACACCCTTGATTTAATGATTTTTTTTAAACATCTCTTACTAACTTTATGGTCCATAGATGTTCTTTTCTTGAACCGAATACTTTTAAAAACCTTGTTTTTAAAAAAATTCACGATAAAATCTACAGCAAAAATATGGGTCATTCTATAAATCTTCGGTCCGTTTTTTCCCCTATTTCCTGTTACAACTGACATCTATGAGTTTATAATTCTCATGCACTCGGCAAACTACCTACCCAACAAATACAAAATCATTTGAAGTCATTTTTAATGATACTTGAATGGCAAATTTACAAAGTACCAAGGTAACAGGGACAGGAAAAATGTCACACTTTGACCCTAAATTTATAGAATGACTTAGATAGCCATTCACGATGACTGACTATGTGGAAAACATGCAAATCCTAAAAAAAAAAAAAAGAGAGGGCCATCATTTAATAACGTCAATGGAGTTCTGACTAACCAATGATAGCAGACAGTTGGTTCTCGTGCTCTGCCATGACGTATCGATAGCCAAAATACGCTAGGTACTCCAGAGTCCGAGAGACATCCAGAAGAGTTGTGAGTCTGTGGCAAAAAGAAATAACAAAATTTAAATAGTTTCTGTACAACATGCCTGCACGTGCAAAAGTTCTAGGCATACAATTATCAAAACTGGTATTTTGCGTATACCAACTCAATTTCAGCTGAAAAAAAATAGAAAATTTAAAGTAAATGTAATGAAAAAAAACCCACGAAGTCCAAGAATCCCAAGATTGAACTATATTCCAAGATCGGAAAAACCCTAGATTAATCAAATAGCTAGCGTCACAGTGGTTAATTTACAAATAATTTCTCTCTGCTTAATAATGGTTTCTCTCCATTTTTGTGCACCATTTGTGCAAGAACGGACGGTATTTGGCAAGAACAAACAGTATACAGGCCATGGGCCTATTAGACATGAAACTTAACCAAGTTGTGTACTGAAACCCCTGCTGCGGTTGTATGACAGCACTCGGACACTATTTAGCGTCGCACAAATAATTTGTCATGTATTGTGGGGTGCTGTGGTCCAATGGTTACAGTGTTCAACTCGTGTGCCGTGGTACATGGGTTCGAATCCTGACCGTGCGAACATGGTGCTTGTGCTCTTGAGCAAGGTACTTTACCATTATTGTTTCGTCCTTCGGATGGGACGTAAAGCCGTAGGTCCCGTGTGTTGTGTTGTGCACGTTAAAGAACCCAGTAACACTTATCGCTAAGAGAAGGGGTTTGCCCCGGTGTTTCTGGCAGTGGCTGCAATATGCGCCACAGCACCTTGTAAACCTTTATAAGGTGCTACATAATGGGTCTCATATTTCTCATCAACTTTATTTACCTTTCTTTAATAATAGACATAATTTCCAGCGCCTTGAGTACCTAATTCATGGTAGATACGTGCCCTATAAAAGACTCCGATACTATTATTATTATTACATGCCAAATAGTCTCCTGCGTTTACTGCACATGCTCAGCGGACACTTTTTCGCACTGAACAGTTTTTGGAGTGACACCAATGCAGTCTCAGACTCTGAGGCTGTTTGACTTTAAGACCCTTCACCAGTTGGATTGTGTTACACTAGGCAGGGTTGTCCCTTTACCAACTGCTATATGTTGCTGCATATTATCAAGGTGTTCAACCAAAATACCCAGAGGATTGAGGGTTCAACCAACTTACGTCCACTGCGATAAGCAACCCTGTAGCGTTATCCATCCCTTCTCATTGGTGCTGACCGTCATATTGACGTCATTACCCCACGGCATGACGGGACACGTCTGAAAGAAGTTCTGCAGCTCAGTCGGCGATAAGGCACCATCTTTGTCCTGTAAAAAAACAAACAAATTATTTCAATAATCTTGAAAATCATGCCATTCTCAAATTTAAACAAATGCACCTATTAAAGTCCAACCCACTGATAGTTTGACAATCAATGCTATAATTAACCCTAACCTTCCCAAATCCTCCCAAATCCTTTTTGCAAAATAGAGGATTTTGCAGGATTGAGGCTAAATGGCAAAAATGTGCGACTGATTCTTGAGGATGGTAAACAATGTATTAATGCTGAGATTCTCTTTCATAACTATGCAAGAGCTTGCCCTAAATAATGTGATTAGCAACAGTGTCTTTGGTCTGGAGAATTCAAAGTCAAAACGTGCCCAGCATTATGAGCAAGTCAGTGTACCAGATGTTATTCAAATTTAACTCCCAAAGGGTATAGGTTATTGGCAAATGTTTTATTGACTGTATGTTATAATAGTGAGTTAAAACCCTGTATCTTTTTTCATTACTGGCACGATATAACAAAACAATTGTTGACTGCTGTGATGTGGGATATCGGGTTTTTAACCGCCTCTAGGTGCATAGTTTGCCTATTTGCATATGCCCCTCGGGTGCTAAATATGCCATATCCCACATCACAGCAGTCAACAAATGTTAAATATGACACCTGATGAAAAAAAAATAAAACAGGAAGAATTTGAGGGTCCAGTTTCATATTTAGACAGCAATTCATTTGCACAACAGGAAATGTGATGAATGAAGAAGTGGTTCCAATTTTAATAACTGAATGTGAGTGGTTCAGGAAATAATAATGGCAATTCAGTGTATTACGTTTCAGTTGATCGAAAATGAGTAGATAGCTGATGTGTGATATTACCTGCATTGCAGATTGTATTACAAGTGCAACTCATTGCCCTGTCAAGTTCATAGTAAACACCGCAAACTTATCTTGTCTTAGTATCTTTCCACCATGCAAACCTTCAAATCTCAACTCATAACCAAATGGACAATGTCGTGGCAAATTTTAACTGCGTGTACAAACTATTACAGAAGCAATGAGCTATGGTAAGTTCACTTTTATAATATACATGTACAACTTCTTGTACTGTCAAGTTCATAATAAACACCGCAAGAAAGAAAGTGCACACTCATTGAAGGGGTCATTATTTTGAATCTGATCGTCTTAAGGTGACGCCATTTATATAGACCTTTGGGGAATGTTGTTAGCTACATTTTGATACCCCGTTTGCTACCAAAGACTGTAAATTGTCCAAGATTGACAACGGTTTATGAAAAATGATACAGTTTGAAAAGTTGCAAATTTAAAGATTACGCGAGGACAAATTGCTAAGGGCCAACACACGTGCACGTTATTCATTGGCCCCTATCGCCTGCACATTGCCCAAACAAATTGCGGGTAATTAGATTTTGCGTGCTCCCAACGCATACAAGCACCATGCGATCGATATTCCCTGCTGTTCGTTTCGGGCAGTGTAGAATTGTCACACAGTAATTTCCAATCACGTACTCTTTAAATTTACAACTTTTGTTTGCAGTGTTTATGTAAATTTGCAAGAACAGTACTTTACCTGATCATATTTTTCAAAGAGCGTGGTTAAGAACTGGTAGCCCAAGTGACTTAGCTCCGTTGAGCTGCCTCGTCCAACTCGTAACCTAAACACAAACACATCGTACATGATTCATTGATCAAAATAAACACTTACTGGTCAAGGGGAAAGTTTGATGAAAATTTGGTGTAGGTTCACATTCAATGCAAAATGGAAGGTGAATTAGTACGGCAGATAGGTGCAGGGATTGTGCCTTTGATGATACAAGCATGGCATTTGGCACACAGTCAGAGTGTGTCCTGGGAAAGATATTTGGCTATAGGGCCATCGCAGATTTGTCCTTTGAAAAAATATAGGTAGAATAACAAGCAATGGCAGCCATTTTGAAAAATTTGAAAATTGCTTGTTATTCTACCCATATTTTTTCAAAGGACAAATCTGCGCTTGCCCTATAGCCAAATATCTTTCTTAAGGCATACTCAAACTGTGTGCCAAATGCCATGCTTGTATCATCACAGGCACAATTCCCCGAAATAGTTTCCCTATCTGCCCCACTAAATGTTTTAAGGGTCAACCTATAAATTTAGGGCCCAAAGTGTGACATTTTTCCTGTCCCTGTTACCTTGGTACTTTGTAATTTGCCATTCAGCATATCATTAAGAATGACTTCAAACATTTTTTCATTTGTTGGGTAGGTAGTTTGCTATTCATAATCACTCTTGGAGAACGGCTGCATAAAGGCTGCATGCAGAATTATCAAATCATAGACGTCGGATGTAAACAGGGGCAGGAAAACAGTGGACCACAAATTTATAGAATGACCCGCATCTGTGATGTCACCGCAACCGTCTACACTGTGGATTTAATTAACACATTCCAACTCCACCAAATTTTGCAACAAATGTTTAGTGAAGTCATATTTGCTTCGCATTCGCATGCACTATGAACCTGCATCTAGACAGATGAGCGAATAGTCAGGCCATTTCTTAACAACGTGCTACTGCCATGCCGAACACAAATTTCTTAAAATTGGGCACAGCAATAGCACAGCCTTTAGAACCATTTGGCTCGATATTGAGCTCGGCATGGCACCATTCTTTGGCTCAACAGGGTCTGCCGTGCTATCGTCAAATTCCGAATGGAAGTCGCACTGTTCTAAACGATGTGCCATTGCAGGACGAGATCAATTCAATTTGAAATTGGGGCAAACTTTTTAGAAAGTCGCACGCTTATAATACCCTCTCTCGCATACGCATTAAGGGGGAGTGAATGAGGCATGAATACTGGATGGCACGCAAAGTGCTTCAAACTGCTTGAAAAATAAAACAATGGCAGGCTACTCTTGGGCATTTTGTTTGTTCATTTTAGCTTGGCGTTTATCCGCTCCGTTCACAAGTACCCCCTTAGGGGCAAAGAAAGTACAGTTGGGGGTGACCGAACGACGCCATCTTGCCTGACTGCAATATTTTGCCGCAAAGCGCGGCTACTGCGTATACATAGTACAAATCCCCTGGTGTACATGCATCACACAAAAGGAACGGTGCGTGCGTGTCAACCTGCGAAATGTATGTGTCCCGCCCATGGGATGTCGTTGCTAGGTAAAAGGGCGCCCTCTTGTGTTGGCGCACGGAGTCCATAGTAACTGTCATGCTACAGCCGAGCTACTGCCAAGCTCACTTCAATTTAGCTCAGGACGGCCGCAGCAGGACGTTCAGATCAAGCTTAAATGCAACTTAACAAATTTTGGAATTCTAAGCTATACCTTGGCCGGAGATATTCTGCCGTGAGCTTGAGGTGATCTGTGTAGCCAAACTTCCTAAGTACAGTCCACGTGGTCTCGTGCCTACCCCGCTGAATGAATAATGTGTGCAGGAATAAAAACCCTGTCCAAAGACAAAAGAAAACAAGGAAAATTTACAAGTTATTTTGGGGTTAAATGCCATCAAAATTATAAATATCCCAATACTTTACCGGGAAATGAAACAATGTTCCTCCCAAGCATGAGCAAAAATTGCATAAAGGTCTGCATCATTAATCAAACAAACAGAAAAAAAACTTCCAAAAACATCGTAGTAACTTAAAATTTTACAAACTAGAATTCACTGTCAATCCTACGTGATCAAATTAAAAAAACACATTTTCTGACAATAATTTTTTTTTTTTAAATACTCTGAAATACATGTTGGCATTCCAAAAACAAAACAAAGTTTTCCAAGAATTTCCTGAGACGAATGAATCAAATTTTATAAATTAAACTAAACTGTGAATTCTACATAAAAAAAATCACAGTTTGACAATAAAAAAAATTCACTGAAATTCACATTGGCTATCCAAAAGAAAGAAACTATTTTCCAAGCATTTCCTTAGACAGATGAATCATGTGCAATTGCTCTGTTCACCACAGGTATGACACATCATCCATCTGTTGACTACAACCATACAAATTGCCTCGTGAGGATAACCTCAGCTAAAGATGACTAGTCAAAATTATAAATTTATAAAAGTCTAAGCCCCTTTACCATCATCAAGAAAAAGTTGCTGTAACTGTAAAAACAATGCTTTCAACATAATTTTTAAAAAGCATAAGTTCAAATGTTTGATATAGTCATGTTGGAAGTTTGTATAGTCAGGTCAGAAATCGCAGGTAGGTTCTTTTGTGTACATTTATCATTTTAGAGGTTTGGGGCAAACTTTCAAACTGTAAAAGACATGCATTTCATTTATATCTCATTTGTTCATAGGATCTTTCCATAATTTTGGGGTTCAATTTCTGTGTGTCCTTGTTACATCTGGTAGAAAATGTTGTAAATTCAGGACACATTCTTTAATGCCTTCTATCTCCAAGAGTGATTATGGAAAGCAAAATACCTGCCAACCAAATGAAAAAAGTCATTTTTTTTAATGATATATACATTGCAAATTACACAGGTGAAACCAGTGACCTATTTCATAGCACTGCTTAACAGCCAATTTTCTGCTAACAAAGCCTCCGTCTATTTCATAAAGACTGTAAGCAGTAAGCACAGCAAAAGCACGCTTAACCCTGGAGGAAAAAGTTGCTTAAATCCGTGACGCAACAATAGAAATCTCCATGCATGATCAACCGTTAGCACAACTATGCCATGCAATAGTGCTTAAGTATCATCGTGATTTTTTGTATAGTAAGCCTAACTTTTCTGCTAACTGTTAAGCATAATTTGATTACTGCACATCTGAACTGAGTTTTGAGAAATTATTTCAAATGTATCCTGTCCGTCCAGCCAAAAGTAACACATTTACCTATATGGCCAGCATAATTTCTATCACGGCTGGTATTATTTCTTCCAAATAAAAATCCACAATGTAAGTTAGGAATGATTTCCAGACAAACATCATGCTTGGTGATACACAGTCGGTTAGAATCTGACCTATCTGTGAGAGTCCGTTGTTGACGACCCCCTCCGGTATGTTTTTCCTGACGACCGCCTTGACGTCATCCAGGGCCTGAGGCTGCAACGGCGCATTGAAGCAGCGTCTCTGTATGAAAAATCAAAGTAAGTTAGGATTGTCAGTGAAATCTCTCTGATGTACAATCGCCTACGTTTTATCAACTGGTTTCTGCCACTTCTGTTAGCCACTATTGTCATGAGCCCGGTTGCCTTTTCTCCCCCAAAAATTTAAAAGGCACAAAGTCTGTAAAAACTTAGATATTCGAAAATTTTAAAATGTTGTAGGTTTTTAACACTAATTTTAGATTTTCGCAACTACAGTGGTACTTTATCATCCAAGTATTCCAACCTAAGGCTCCATCTTTTTAATTTCATGTATGAATCTCTAGTTGCAAAGAAACAGAATATAGTACAAACTGGAAATGGTCCACAATTTCTGGGTTTAACTTTTCTCCAATTTTTGCAAGTTTTCTCCACAATCAATGACTCAACATAAGTTTTTACAAGCAGCACGCTAAACGAGTGCCAGAAATAAAAGTCACTATAATATTTCCCCATTTAGTCTATATTTAAAATTACTGTGGTTTTTATAGTAATGTGTTTTACAATTACAATCATGTCAATCTTGTTAGTTGAATTACCTGGAACAAATTGAGCTCATAATCATTCAGCACGCCGTCATTATCCAGGTCGCATATTGTGAATATCCTAGACAGCGCCCTCTTGCATTCTGGTTTAAGCTCCTTGTCTTCTGCGGAGTACAGAGGTCCTGTTGGGTGTAGCACGGCCTTCTGGGCATAGAAGAACACCTCCGAGATGTTCTTGAGGTTCCTTGAAGAACACTGTAAAAAAAAAAGAGAATAATTTTTATGAGATCATATTTTCAGCAAGCACTGTGGCCAGTCACATTCAGTCAACAGACAAAAGCAGGCAGGTAGTCAGCACAGCTGTCTTATCAGTCACCTATATGCAAAAAATAGCTGTATCAAGTAACATAAACAGTCACAGGCAGTCAATCTTGCTTTATGTACCGGTAGGCTGGGAGATCGCAACTGTTCAAAACAGTCACTGGATTGATTTTGACTGCAAGTGCAACTTGGCACAGAATGTACGTTTGCATAGGAGAGTTAAAGGGAATATACATCATTTGCTTTTACTGTAATTTTCAGAAATGGATGGAATTGGGGGGTTGGAAATATATAGCAAATATAGTTACACTGACTTTTTTGAGGTTTTGGGTTCGAAAATGCTATAAAAACCAAGAAAAACAATCATTTTCCTGTAGTCTGGTTCCCTGACTCCATATAAGAAGAAACAGAGCAGTTTACATACATTGGGGAATTGTAAGGTCAGGGAACCAGTCTAGCTGGCTCGTACCCGTTCATAGGTTTGTAATCGATTGCAAACAAGTGCGATGGTCAATTGGGTCCAGTATTTTTAAAAAAAGCCAGTTTTTTCCAACGCTGATCGGCCGATCAGCGTTGGAAATTGATACAAAAATACCACTTTTCTTGAAAATGACAGTATACCAGGTGCCATGATTTTACAGGATGCTTTACACTGTCATTCACTAACAGTCCAGCAAGGTATTTCAAAATGATTTGGTAGTTTTATTTTTTGATGTTTGCAAATGTTGTATTTTCCCTTTAATTAGATATCATGGTTAATTGGCTCTGTCACGGACATTACACTTCCTTTCGTAACGCTGGAATTGCCCATAAGGTGTATTGACATGGTATCATTGTAGACCAATGAAAATTACACCAACCACGAGTCCGAGACCCCATCTTACCTCTACGCACGTCTCAATCTCCGAGTAGTCATTCATGATGGGCACCACGCCTTCCAGGCTATTGGCATCCGCCTGGTCAGACTTGTTGCCCACCAGGATGATAGGGGTGGAGTGGTCAGCTCCTAGGGTGTTCCTGACTAGAGGCAGCCAGTAGTCAGTGATGCTGTCAATGCTCTCACGATGGTTGACGGCATACACGATGCAAATCACGTCGGCCTGAGATAGGGAAACATATCATGAATAATAATCATCCTTAAAAATCTTTGCCTTTGACAAAGATTCTGCTACGATCGAATCATTAGGTCTAATTTTATTTAAGATCAATTCAGCCAGCAAGCAGTTTGTAGCAGTTTTATTCATTTTCATGTTAAAAGAAAAGAGTGAGAGAAAAATTGGGAAAATCCATTTACAACGTACCTGCTCCACTTTAATTTCAAAAGAAAACCACCAGAACAAATGTATAAAACTTGACAACTCTCCACGTCAGTGCAACAAGGTCGTAGCTCCATTGTGCAACATACTCGTATCTCGGGCGAAAACGCTCCGTGCAACGAGGTCGTATCTCGACGTCCCTTGACTTTGTGTGTACATCCGGGATATTTTAAGTGAGATACAACCATTTTGACATTCTGAAACTCCCGTTTCACGTACGGCCCATTTAAGGAGATACGACCTTGTTGCACGGACACGACGAACTGTTTCAAGGACTGACATTCCAGAGTGGAGCGGATGCAAATTATTTCCAAGACTTTAATTAAGAAGCAACTACACATGCAAGTCATTAAAAGATTGACTGATGCAGCACTTCAGGTTACTTTAGAGTCTTATCAATGGAGAAATGAGTACATACATGTTTAGTTCCCTGTCTGGAAACAAATTCTATTTTGGCCAACAAGAGTGGCTTCAATTCGGGTGATTCACAATGCAGTGCGCCACCAAGAGTTTGCCATGGAGAGTCCATTTTCAGGTTTACGGTCGACAAAACATTGCCCATTTGAATGAGTGTCAGTAGCCAACTTGAGCTAATTCGTTAAAGATTGGGGCATAGCGTTCTGTCGCCTTACAAAACACACCATGTTGATAAAAAGGAAAAAAAAGGACAAACAGATACTCGAATCATACGCTTGCGAAACTACTGATCGGAAAAACGACCAATGTGAATTTGTTGAAAATCTCCCGAATTGCACTGGGAAACATGAACTCTCCGTGACAAACTCTTGGTGGCGCACTGCATGGTTAATCGTCCGAATTTAGTACATTATTATTCAGTGTGACTCTGGAATGTCAGTCTGAAACAGGTCTGTAGTTCACTTCCAATATCTGCATATTAATGCTTCTGTTTTTCAACTTGATATTTGATTATGCATTGGACTTACCCTGGCAATTTCCTCCATGAGAATCTCATCGTTCTGTTCCCGTGCTGTCAAGAGGGAAAAAGAATTAGAAATTTTAAGTTAGTATTATTCCTTTAGGTACATGGGATCATATGCTTTTTGTGCATTTCTCTTTTCATTTGTAGCAATAAAATTGCTCAAAATCTTGAGAAGAGTGCACAACAATTAAGTTGTTGAAATTTCAGCTCAGTGAATACTGTACATTTTGAGAAAACAGAGAAAACGATTGCACAATATTTTGGGTCTCGTAACTGGATTCCATTGTTGCTTAGGTAAGTATAAACCAAAAAGACTGTGCCCATGGGCACATTTTCTTAAACCAGCTTCAATGATTGTTTTCTTCTGAATGATACCATTTCAGGCGGAATAATTTCACAGGGTGTTTGGTACCAGTCCTATCTTAACTTTGAGCAAGGATTTTCTTGTTACATTGGAAGGTACGTTTATGGGCAATTGCAAATGTCCCTATGTGCCTTTAAATAGTCTCCGCTGATAAAGTACTATACGTAAGGACTCTTAAGAATGTTCATGTCCATTTGTGTAAGGGAATTATTTGAGTTTGCAAACTTTTGTTGTAGATATTATCGAATCATGAGTCATTACTCACAAGAATAATCCACAATGTGTGTGGGGACTTTCTCAGGTGTCACATCTGGAGGAATCGTAATCTCCTCTGCCCTGGCAGGTACCTACACAAAATCAAGGAACGATAGCCGTCAAATATAAACAATCTTATGGAAACAGGTAAAATATGCATTTTTTCTCATACAAAACATTTAATAATTGTTGACTTTATTGACTCCCGAGGGACACATAACACCGAAGGTTTAGCCCTGCACATGCACCCTACATACCTGTGCACTTACAAGGGAAGTTGGACCACAAGGAAATCACTTTTGTATTAAAAAAAAAAAAAAATCAGAACAGCAGAACTCACCTGATCCTCTTCAGGAAACTCATCACTCACGAGGGTTAAAATGAGTGACGTCTTTCCAACTCCAGCTGTTCCAAAAAAATGTGAAAAAGAATCTCTAATATTACTTTGTTAAAAAACGTGATTTTCTTTTATAAACCCTAAGGCCAAAAAAAAAATATTCGGTCTCTGGTCAGACCAAAGTTCCGGAATTGACGTGGCCAAGCGGCTTTTTTTTTTTTTTTTTTGCTTTTTTTTTTTTCTTCAAGCTTGGATTGTACAGACAAGGTGGGTACTATTTTGCTTTTTTGGTGTCCTCATGTACATTGGTGTTCTCCATAATTTGCCTTGGTGCTTTCGATCATTTGCCTTGGTGCAATTTCCCATTCCTTGGAGCTCTTTGGTAAAAAAAATTGAGGAGGTGCAGAAATAGAGGGCGCTGTTGGAGCTACCGCGGAACATTTTGGGAAAAAAAAGATCGACGCGCATGATTAAAATCGACGCGCGTGCTGACCAGAGACCGACTTATTTTTTTTTTGGCCTAACCTCCTTGGCCCTTTTTTGCTGGGAACCATCCTCATTCCTCCAAAATCCTCCAAGACCGCCTGGAAGACTTTAGAGGATTGAGGGTAAGGGTTAAAGATGATTTAAATAATGCAGGTAAGAATCATATGATTTCACATTTAATAATAACAGAACTGGAAACTTCATTACGACCACAAAATCCACAATCCCTGGCAAAACAAATTCTTCCTTTTGCTTTATTTTAACAAGCCATATTCTAAGGCCTGAACAAGAATATCATGATGCTCACAAAACAAACAATGAACCTTCTTGATGCATAAAATCATAAACAATTATTTTCATTTTTCTGCTATGAGAGAAATTCACTTACAATCTCCGATGAGCAGGATGCGTACGTCTCTGTGGCCATACATGTTTTTTCCCCAGTAAACTAATCTCTGGTTTTACTTTGGTTCTTGGGCTTGAACTTATTGAGCAACTGCCGTGGGTGAGTTTCTGTAAGCAAGTACACAAAATACAGACTGTTAAAGGGGCCATGCATGCAATGTATAATGCAATCCTTGAAAACACACATTTGTGCCCCATTTAATCTTTTTTTCAAAATATTGGGGGCCATTTTCAAGTGTATTTTGGTGCATTTTTGTCACTGTTTTTTTTTTTATGCTAATGCCGAATTCCATATTTCTGATGTCATTTCAGGCAGAAACCTCAATATTACAGTTATTTCAGCAACAAAATTGGCAACAACTTCAACTTGGCAACTTGCTGTTGAATTTTTTTCACGAAACTGATCAAACGTTTTACGAATGAGAAAAATTCACAAAATGATTTAGGCCTACCACCAGAAACACTCTCCATACAGTTTAAACGTGAGTAGATGACACTGACAATGAACACTTTAATTGACAATAAAGTAACAAGAAACAAATTACAATTGGATAAATAAGTTTCACAAACCTGAAAATCTTGCAGAAAAAGAGCGCAAAAAATGTTTTCAAGTCAATCATTTCCCATCGTGCCGGCACGTCTAGCACCCGCCGCTGTGAAAGACACGCATACATAATGCATTAGTCGCGCGAAGGGCGCCGTTGGTAATTCACGTACCTCACGTAGACGTACCTCACGTAGACGTACGAACCAGACTATTGTGAGCTCAGAGATTACGCATTGGGTCAAAGGTGAACTGGAAAAATTCAGCGATCGGTAACTCGATCTAGCGCCCTCACTTGGTCACCTACTGCTGTGCGGTTCAATGGCTGAAAGTTGAGCAACGTTGCTAGGGACCCTGCTTCCCCTAGTGATGTGTGACCTTGCAATTTCGTCGGGGTGGCATACCACAGCGAAGGGCCTGAATAGATCGAGAATTCTTTTCTCATAAATACAATGACACTTTTGCGCACTGCAAACATTTACCTTCAAAATCAGCCAAGCTAGACATGCCCTGGGGCATAAGAATACCGGGCATAATAGGGTAGAACTACGTGAGGTGACAGTATATGCCCTATACCTCCATGATTCTAGAAATAATACTGAAAATTTATGGGAAATACTATTGAGAATAATTTGAAACCCCAATAAAGTAATGGTAAATTAAAAGAGTTATAAACCAAAATTTTCAATCGAATTGAAACGGTCACATTTTTTGTGCTGGGTCCATAAAAATCCACCAGGTCGCACTTTAAATCAACTGCACGGTAAGTTTTGTCCCGTGAACATGATGAGGATCAACTATTGTAATATTTAAACTTGACTTATTTAAATGTCCTTTAATTTGATTTGATGAACTGGCCCTTGATATATTTGATATGCCTCTTGAACTGTACAAATATGTTACCATGATCGCCATTGATCGAGGAAACACATAAGCACACCACAAATCAATATCTCTTCTGACACTGTCACGCGTCAGCCTCGGAAATGTCTCTCGCTACGACGACTATTTTATAACCCCACGCATCGCGCAAATTGAATAACTAGAAACAAGAGCTTTCAGCATGGACAATTTTGAATGCCAGGGACCCCAAGGATCAGGGGTGCTCGCCGGTCAACCTCAACCGTGACTTGTTGGCTCCATTAGCTCCTCATTATGTTTCGAGAGGACAAGGGGTATTTCACGAGCGACTTATAAAATCAACAATGACGGGACAGGACAAGTGAATGAGGGGGTTCGGCCGGGCCGTCCCGCTGCATGCTCACGAACAAGCAGACGAGCCGGAATTTCTGTTTGCAAACAGTGCCACAATAGAGGAGCACACAATTGACGTGATTAGTCTGTGGTTCGGATTGGTGGCACCACAAAGCTGTGACCACTAGACACGGGTGGGGGTGATTCGCACGTCCGTTCAACCCTTGTTGTCAGGCAGAAAAGTAAATCTGCCACTCGGCATACCGCTGGCTCAGGATTTGGATCGTTGTTTCCGTGGAAAGGAAACTTTCACTTGACTTTTTTGTAGCACTTAAATCTCTATGATTGGTTGGTAATGGTTACACCTGTGTTCCGGGTACACCGGATAACGGCTACACCGTGGCTACTGTGTATTGTGAGCGGTGTTAATCCTCGACCGAATAGAGCAATTTCTTCGGATGTGTGATAGAGCGTCTGACAACAACTGATTGGATTGAAAAGTGTGAACATGGCAACGTGAATGTTGGATGAATTCATACATTTTGGTGACTTATCACGACGTATAGACCGACACAGTGTCGGTAAGTTTGCATCAGTATTCTTCACTAAGATATTATACTTGAACATGGTATAAGAATGATGACAGGACTACAGCGTCCGTAACCGACGGAATGATGTGTTCTACCGTGGAGCGGTGACTATTTGACTAAACTTCCAAACAACCATGTATTTTTCATTTGCGGAAAAGTAATGTCGCCATAACTGCATCAGCCATGAAGCCATCGGTGTCCAAAACTGTCCACGTGGACAAGCGTCCGAGTTTCGCCGGCAACCTGGTGACCATCTTCGCCGGACGAGCCGAACGGACGGCGGAGACAACGGCCATGCGACAGAACCTCCCCGGCAAGAGCCACGTAGGACGGATCCTCCTCAACGACAACACCAGTCAGGAGAGACTCCTCGACATGAGGCTGTCAGACATCCAAAACGCTCAGAAGAAGACGGCCACCTTCATCGCACACCAGAAGAAGACCTTCGTGACGCGGATGGAGCATCGCCAGAACACCTGGGTCAGGGAGCACTCTAGGAGAGCCGGTATTCTCAACTCCATGGCGAGCAGAAAGCGAGACAGTATCATCGCGAGGAATGCGGAATCACAAGACTGCGACTTCGAAGATGTATCATCTGACGGGGATAAGCCAGAGGTTGTGAAAGGTGATGCCAATTCCAATTTTAAATCTGGAGAAACAAGTGAAAAAGAGCAAGGGAGAACAGATGCCTTGCCGGAGATTGGTTCGGCCCGGACTAAATCCAGATTTCCACGCGGGAAAGGAAACGATGCTGTTACGAGAAATCACACCAGAACGGATCTTTCTCTGCCCAGCATTCGAGACTCGACTCAAGTAGATGAATCCGCGGCCACCGGTGGGACGAAGCTGCCTTCGGTTCTCATCACAGCGGAAGTTGACGCCGATCAGAATCAGAAGTCTACAGCGCGTAGTCCGAGGAGTAGCGCCGAGCGGAGGAAAAAGAAACCCCGAGGATTAGCAGGACACGAAGCGTTCGTGCTACCCCGCCCGTCTGGACCCTCGCCGACGTTCATCTCCGAAGTCCTGCCCAGAATACAGATCCGGGAGAACCTTCGGATGCCCTCCCACCTCTCCAAGAAGGCTTCGAAGCGCCGCAGGAGGACAAAGAGCCACGCCATATCCGGCGAGGAGGACCCGCTGGCGGACGTCAGGTTCCTGAGATTGCAGCACACTTTAGCCCCACACCTAGCCTGGCAGGAATCTAGGGACATGGCAAGTATCGCCTCAGGTGTGTTGACCGCCAAGAAACTTATGTCAGAGAAGCTGAGGAAGATCAGTAAGAAGGTAGATGAAGACTTTGAGGACGGATAATACATATTACAACGTATGCTACTCTGTGTTGCTTCGAAACCATCTAGAAAGTATTTGTCACGAAGTGTGCTTTTTGTAAAGTTTTGATACCCCCAGTTGCTAAAATACAACAGACGTATCTTTGTCCGAAAGTGCCGTATTACATGAAGTGCTTATTCGTTAACACGTCTGCAATTTTGACAACCGATGTGCCAATTTCAAACAGATTGTTGTTTCAAACAATAGGATTTCAGACATTGTAAACAGCCTTTTAACATTTCTTTTTATCGAGAGGGGATTGGGTTTCCAAGTATACCTTGCAGTGTGGAACATATAATTTCCAAATAATCATGACTGTTTCGGGTTTCATTTATTTTGTAAACATTTAACATTGCACATTTGCCATCAAACATTATCTGCGGATTTGCATTTAACCCTATTGTGTGTGTGTGTTTTGCCAATTATGTACCAAGTATAATTATGAATCTATATTTCACAATAATGGTTATTTCATGTGCCAAATGTTTTCGGCTTAAAAGTTGGTTTAAGTATTTTATTTAACGCAAAAATACTTCATGACATTGTTTTTGTTGTGCAATGTTGTTTGTAAAATATCTAAAAAGAGACCATGACTATCCTGCATGCTGCAGGATCTTGGAAAATAGCTGGGTAATATAATTGGCACACTCTGCAGAACTAAATGGCTACATTAAATTATTTAACTCTGTGAAAAATGATTCACAACTTCCTTTGAATTAAAAAGCCGTGCACCAATATAGAATATTATGGGGAAATCGTGTAGGGGAAGGCCTGTAAAGTGTATTTGTATTTCAATGAGAACATTTAGTCCTCTGAATCTGAAAAAAAAAAGGATATACATGTACATTGTGTATATCGATCAGTTGTCACATGTCCTTCAAAGAGACAGTGTTGATATCACAAGTCTTTTACAAATTCGGTCACAAGTCATCATAGGTCAATCACAAGTCAAATCACAAGTCAAATAAAAGTCAAATAAAAGTCAATCACAAGTCAATCACAAAAGTCAATCACAATTAGTCAATCACAAGTCCATCACTAGTCAATCACAAGTCAATTCACAATACCGATCACAAGTAACAGTGGGTGAAGCCTGAAGGCTACAAAATAAGTGCCATTGTCAACAGGGGATCTACCCGATGTTCCCCAATACCGATGTTCCCCACTACCGATGTTCCCCCAAGTCCTTAGGGTTAGGGTTGGGGCTAGGGTTAGGGTTTATTGGTAGGGATTTCGGGGAACATCGGTATTGGGGAACATCGGTATTGGGGAACATAGGTATGCACCCGTCAACAGTCAAGTTAATTTTACATGCATCTTGTGACTTGTGAAGTTGGATTTGTGATGGCCTTGTTGTGGACTAACGCCACGATCTGTGATGGAATATGCAACATACACAAGTTTTGTCCAAAGGCGAGTATAGCTTTACAGCATGCCCGTGTACGACATGTGACTTCTATTTGTCCATAGGCCATGGGAGACCACTTGTTGCAATCCTCTTAACTACGGTTTTGAGCTCAGTCGCTCTCAGATAACTTCGAACAATTTTTTCTATACCTATTTAAACATTTCAGGCATTACTAATTATATATTCCTCACGATAATTAATTCACACCGTTTACGTAACAAAGCATAACAGCGTGACTTCCAATCGATTTTCCCTTGTTCCGTGTTCAATCTAACAAAACACGACGTGTCAATAATGTCTCTGCCGTGTTGATTTAATAATGAGTGCCATTTATTATTGCAACGACTTATGGAGATCCCTTGAACATACATGTCAGCTAAGTCAATAAAGGTTTGTCAAGTGGTGTAGGTCCCTGTCCCACCTTGTGTCGTTTCTGTGCAACCAAATGTGGTAATCGTAACTAAGGAGGGCTCCCGGCTATGTTATCTCAACACAATATCAAGTCCTGTATTTAAATTGTAAAAGTACATTTAGGCCTACTCTCTTGTACATGTATTTCCACAGAGTGAAAATTTGCGTTTCCGTTTGAAAAATATACGACAAGAAACACAACAAAGGGGGCCACTTAGTTACCGTCACGTTAGCAGTTTTTCCAATGGTTGTGATTTTTGGTTCAAGACCTGAAACCGCGAGAGAAGAATTTCAACACATGCATGAACATGCAGCCCACATTGTGTTTCTCGCCATACAAGGGAAATATAGTGTGAGATTTATTTAATCGAATAGATTTAGTTTCCACGAACTGCTCTCTGTTCCGACCCCCATATGTTCCGACACCCCTATATTTAATAGTCCGACAACCCGCACATAAGATTGTGTTATTGGGTTAGGGTTAGGAATGATGTGCAGTCGGAACACAGCGGGTGTCGCAACATGGGGGTGTCGGAACATAGAGATGTAACCAGTTTCCACTCAAGTAATGTCTTTCATTATTCTTTCTCTTTTTAATAATTAATTTTCACTCTAAATCGTATGTATGAATATGTACTTCCAGTGGTTGATTGGGGGGAAATCTCACTTTTTAGAGCTATATTCGAGAGCACATGGAAAATAACAAGCGACATATGCGTTGGATATTTCAGTGAGTTTAGTTCAAAGCCGATTCTATTTTGTTAAAATCATTAGTCAATTAAAAACACAGACGTTTCGGATGCCACATAACAAGTTTGACAATTTTCGCATTGTTTCCCCACACAATTGAACGCAAATAGATTCAAACTTCAAGAGTTCGGTGCCTCGGTCTTTTCACGACCGTTTGTTATTTCAAAACTAAAAATAAGTACGAATGCAATTCAGATTCATACGGACCTTTTAACGAATTGTATGTTTATGAAAACATTTATAGCTTATTCATGTCTTCAAATCCAGGTTGATATTGATTAAAACTAAACTGAATTGCCAAAGTCTCGTTTTTAACAAACATGACCACCTGCTTCTAAATATATCTTTTTATCAAAGTAACTTGGCTATTTTCGGGCAAATTAATTTAGTTAGTACAAAGAAGATCTTTAAACAAACATGAGGCCGATAAAGGACCAATTTGGCGATCGTATTTGAGGTTTACTTGGGGTGTATGAAACGAGACAAAAGTCAAGTACATTCGTGTGATACGAGAATCACAATTTTGTCAACTTATCGACCAGCGGCTATTTCTGTACACTCGCCTCGAAACCGCAAAGGGTATGTCAACCAACGGTTTGGATTGGTTCATTTTTATCTCCCCGAATGACATTTGTAGACAGCCAAGCTGACCTTAGCTTCAAGTTTATAAATAATGACCCAAACTATGGTCATGTCTCCACAAAATGCCAGTCTATATTGCCCACTTAATGTTAATTAATTCAGCACACGGTGTCAGATGGACGCGTATAAAAAGAGATACTATTTCGTATCCACCATTGTTTGCCACTTCCACCGCTGTCCATTCAAACATCCAGCTCCAAATTTAGCCCTTTATTGTCACTGGCGATATGGACACTTTTAAAAATAGCTCCTTCTCAGAAGGAATGCTCTATCATCATGGAGTGAACAGTAGTGATGAGCTCACAGAGACGGATACGCGTAATATATGTGTCTTGAGGACTTTCAGATTCATCTAAGAGTCCAAAGGGACCGCATGTGGTTAAAACAAACTGAAGGGTCAGTTTTGATACTGCTACTGTTTTGCTTTGAAATCGCCGTAAACCCTGAAGAAAAATGGAACTTGACCGACTGCAGATGCTCATAATAGTGGTAATGACGTCACTGCAATTTGAACAGTGTTATTAAATGTGCGGCTAAAATTGGCAGGTAAAAGAAAACGCGCGGCAAACATGCTTTACTGTTTTATAATGCTGACGATTCACGGCTTCAGAAATAGAACATGTTCAGTCAAAAATGGGTCGTGTGTGGCAAACAACTCCAACCGTGTAAATAATTTGATACAACATCTCGAACGTCAAAGGGAATTCAAAACTTTACATGACGAAAGACAACATCTCCCACTCCAAAATAGTGTTTAAGCTGGTGAAGCCGAGTAAAAATATTGACACAACTAAAGTTTGCGCAAGCAAATTACAGTATTTTACGCGAGAGAGGCGTAGGAAAATTGCGTAGGAGTCCAAAGTTTCACGTAGCACCCACCCCTTGCGCAAAACGTCGATTGTCAAGAAAACAACATTGCAAAACTGACAACTGTGATTAAAACTGAGAAAACATCAAGACACTTAAAGAACATAGGTAGGCCTAAGCATACGAAAACCAAAGGTTTGTCAAACTACTTCGGCCTTTAATTTCCACTGCCGACCCCAATCTTGCTGTCCATGTTGATGGAAAAAATACATGTTTTGTAAAATTGCAGCATTTCATGTGAACGCAGTAAACGGGTGCACATGCATAGCAGACGAGGCACAGTCGGCCAGAGAGATAAATAAGAAGATTTCGCGAAAAGGCTAGATATAGACTTCATGCAGTGTGAGCATTGTCAATGTAGAGGCTACGTCTACTTTCTCCAAGATACAATGCAACACGTAAAGTGCAGTGTGCGAATACAAAGCCGCTGCCGGTGGACCCAAGTAAATCGAGCGAACTTTTATTCACTATTCTGTGTACAAAAGGCTTTGCGATTTTATAGACGCCTTGCGTCAGACCATTCCGACGTCACATTTTGAGGACGGGTCTTGCACAGACGAGTAGACATTTTGCACTTTCACCGTCAACACCTATTATTATTGGTGTTATGCGATCCTGAAAAGCATACATCTTCGTTGCGGTTTGAGTGTGACGGTTTAGGCTAAGGGTGTTACTCATTATTCTGATAGAAATGCAAGGTCTTCGTCACAGCCGTTTTGTTTTTAATAGTTAAGATAAATATTTAGAGAAACATTAATCGAAAATTGTTTGATACCAATACAGGCTGATATACCAAGCAGCCCCATTAGTGGTAAATCAGACAGAAGGCTGAAGCGATTCAATCGTGTCTGCAATCATGTGGCGCTCATAAAGCTCTTTTATACCAAACCTAATAGGAGGTTTGGTCTAATTACCAAACCTAGGAGGTTTGGTCTAAAAACAGGTTTTGTTCCTACCTACGAAGGAACAGTTGCAATCACCCAGAAACGTAACTACCGATGTAACGAGAAAATCCATGCTCAAAAGTGAAGATGGAACTGGTACCAAATACCCTGTGAAATTATTCCGTCTGAAATGGTATCATTCGGAAGAAACCAATCCTTGAAGGTAGTTAAAAAAATAAACATGCTTTAGCAACGGGATAAAGGAGACCCTAAAAATTGCGCATCCGTTTTCTCAGTTTTCTCAAAATGTTTATCCACAGAGCTGAAAAATCAACAAGTTAGATGTTATACACCTGTGACATTTCTTAAGATTTTGAGCAAGTTTGTTGCTTCCAAAGAAAAAAAAAGGTAAACGATTGAATGAGCTTTAAACGACTGTTATTAGGCAAGCCTATAGTAAAGCTGGTCCCTGAGTGTACACAAGTTCTATTCAATTGATTTAGAATGGCTATTCACTGAAAGTCTTCTTCACGTATCTGGTTTACACAGTTGGCCGGAGTTAGACGATTCAATGGAGTCACGGGTAATCCTATACAATAGCACTGCCCGACTCACAAGTGCCAATTAGTAAATCAATGAGGTACAAATGACCCTCTGGGATCAGCAGAAACACAACTTGTATAAGTCCTAAGGTAAAGGTAAAGGGGACGAACCTGTGTTCACAGGAACGGAGTACCCATCCCTCTTTCGTTAGCGATTGGGCCAGACTCGAGTCCATGAAATGCTGCTGTGGGAGGATCGCCACACCTCCTCCACAGCGAGTCTGTTACCTTCCCAGCATTAAATAATGCCGGTACCCATTCAACACCTGGGTTGAGAGGAGTAATTGAGGTAAAGCGCCTTACTCAAGGGCACAACACGCATGGCCACGGTGGGGCTCGAACCCACAATCATGAATCCTATGCCCAACCGCTAGACCACACGTGATCAGTACATACATTTTCAAAGCAAAATCATATGGAGCGTAGTTAAAGACGTTGGAATTGTTTCACGTTGTTGGGTGTTGACAAGGGATGCACATTTTTTTTTACAAAGTACGCTACTGTGGTTAAAATATCTTTATAATATACTTTTGCGAAAGTGACACTTTGCGCGGGTGGAAACCCGAAAAGTTTTTGATTTGTAAGAGTTTTTTGGTTCTTGATTAAATAGGATGAAGCCAAATGCAATTGCGCAATATTAGAGACGGAATATGCAACCATTAGAATTAGAATACTCTTTGGTTAAAATAAAGTTGCTGCATGACCGCAATAATTTTTGGTTTGAAATCAGACAGATAGTTGAGACAAAGGTGCGCCTACGTGCCAACATTTGGGTCGAAAAAGGTCGATAGCAGACATCTGCAAAGAGCAAACGTTTAAATCTTATGGATGATGGGTCAAGATGTCAACCTGGCAGACAGTTTTCGTGTTTATTTGGGAGGAGACAAAAGCCGACAAGGGTCAGGCAGAAACAAACAAAATTTGATATTATGAAAACACGGGTCCAATTACCTTTCTGACGAAAAGCAACAGAAGAGTTGTTTGGGTAAACCAAATACCACATTGAAAGTAACCCACATTCAAATTTCTTTGTGAGGATCCAGGCACCTCTTTCGATCCCCACCAGCAGAAAAATCGTTGAAAAATCATGACCGCGCTAACTACGCCAGTGTCAAAGCAGCTTATTAGAATCGATAAAGATGACTCGCGTCTAGTGTATCAGTCAACCCGACACACAAAAACGCGATTCTCGTCATGAAACCGCGAAGGTGACGTAGAAGGGTAACTGAAACCTCGCCTGGTAAACACGGCGTTTCGTATGGTACGACGTACGGCGCGATGTCACTGTTGACGGTGGAGATGCCGTATGAATGAACTGCTGACGAAAGCAGCTGGGTTGACGATGCAGTGGGATACTAGTACACTGTGCATGCAGTGAGGCCCGCGATGCGGGAATGATATATAAGAAACAGATGGGTTTGGGAGGTTGTCATTCGATCAAACTTCGACGAGCGGGAGCAACGCGTGTGTAGCTGTTTTAAGCCATCGGGTTTTCTGGAGCTTACACATCAGACTGTGTACTATAGCTCTGTAGTCCCGGGGTTTGAAAACTCAACAAGCTCGCATCAGCAAGCCAACCCAGTTCTCTCGATTGTTTATCAACATCTTCGGCCGATCGTAACCATCATGTTCCCGCAGGAGTGCAAGTCAAGCCACCATGCCTTGGTGCGTGCCATCTCGGCAGGTCGTCCCCGTCAAGTTGGGATGCTCTTGGATGCCGGAACGAGTCCCGATGAGAGAGACGAGTGCGGCAAGACGCCTCTCATCCACGCCATCTTCGTGGAGGATCCCAAGAACCGCCGCAAAGTCGTCAAGATGCTGCTCAAGAAGGGTGCCGCTGTCGCCACCACCGACGCTACGGGGAGGAGTGCCCTCTCGTGGGCGTGTCTGCAAGGCAAAGACAGGGAGGTGGATCTGCTGCTGCAGTACAGCGACGTCAACTTGGACTTGAACCACAACGACGTCAGCGGGCGCACGGCCCTGTTCCACGCTGCCAGCTCCGGCAGCGCCGCGTCAGTCAAGCTGATGGTTGACGCCCTGGTGGAGTGTGGCATGAGCGTGGATGTGGCCGACTTCAACGGGGTGACTCCCCTCATGCAAGCCCTCAGTCTCGGCTTCGATGTCTGCGCCACCATCCTCATCAAGCAAGGCAAGGCATCCACCACCGTGGCAGATTCCAGCTTCCTGAGTGCCTTCGACTGGGCCAAGCCCAGCCGAGGGTCCCCAGTCCCCCGCAACCATCTTCCCGACATCTCCGAGTCTTCGAGTTCAAGGGGTGTCTTCAGCGCGGACTGCCGCCGTCGCAGCAGCGGGCTGTGCAGGATGTGCACCCGGGTCTCCTCGGTCACCGACACGGAGTTCGATTCCTGCTACGGCTCCGAGTCGTCCTACTGCGAGGACGGCTTGAACGACCTGGACACCAGAGGACGGTCGCAGTCATTCAGCGACGACGACATCTTTGACCTGGCGTCCCTGTCTCTGGCCGACTTTTCTCCCAAGAGGAGGCCATCTTCTCAAGATTCTGGATGCGAGAGCTGTCAAGATGGATTGCCTCCAATAAACAAACGACCAGGCTCGGCAGGTGAGAATCTTTTGTGATAAAAATGTAAATGTTTTACTTTTGTCTGTATTAAATTTCATGTAAAACAGAACAATGTTTTGATCATGACATTACTGTATACGTCATGCCTCTCTCTTGCCGATCTGTACTTTTAAAGCATATCCATATTTCATGAGATATACATGAAGAATTAACAGCCGAATGTCGGCATTATATGCCCACAACGTCTAACTTTGTGAACACGTGATAGTCAGCCTCATGACAAAAAAACAAAACAACCAACCAATAGAATAATCAAACCAAATTAAAGGCAAATTGAATTTAAATAGTCATTCCCGTCATTTTTATTAAACAAATGTTCATGAATTAAGTATGCCTCTATTTTCCAAATCCTTTCTACTAACAGTAAGACGACCAAGAGCGCACATCCGCCGAAACACTGTCTCGGGACGCCTCGGAAATATTCGTGAGAGCACCGGCAGCGACGAAGTGTTCTCCGATGACGATGACGACTGCCGCTCGGCCCTCTCCGACCAATCAGAGATGAGGAGACAACACGGGTTCCCGATGATTTCAGAAGGGCGTTTCTCATTGGCTTCCCGGGCCGACGGCAGCACCAGACCGCTGACTGCACTACGTGCGCAGATCGACAAACTTCTGTAACTTGTAACAAATTCGGATTGTCCAAATTCCGGTGAGATTCCCTTTTTGGTCAAAACATCATAAAATGACAAAAACAATAAATAAAACAACTGAAACTTCAAATCGATTGAAAAGGTATTCATTATAAGCTAATTAAAGCAACAAAACTTACTTAACATTGGCGATAAAACAACAGAGTGTTGGGTATTCACTAATCATATTTCGAATCCTAAACCAGTTTTTCTTTCACTTTCTCGTTAAGAAATTGAATCTATTTTAATGGCATTGTAAAAACAAATGAAGCAAATAAACTCTTTTAGACTGAAATGGTGAATATCATCCGATTAAAATGAAATACTACAGGAAAAGTAAAACCACCCAATAAGTTATTTGCTGACCAATACCAACCTTTGATAAGCTCATGAATTTGTTATTTTTTTTACGTTTTGTAAAACATCGTGCACTGGAAAACGAAATTGAAAGTTTGGCTATTTTGGTGACAGCCGAAGTTGACAGTAATTTGTGGTTTCCTGTGGCGATTCATGTGTGCACTGCCTTTTGCATTATTCACGACTTGAATGTTGTAAACACTTGATTGTGCCTTCTGGTTTTAATGTTAAACCAACGACACCCTTGCGGTGTACAAAATGCTGCCGAATTGTAAAGTAATTTAAGTATTGTGAGACGTCAACAAAGTCTGAGAAAAAAATGTGTTTTCCTTGGACCAAAATCTATATCTGTTTCCATAAACTAAATTGTGTTTACTGGGTTATTTGAATTAAAAAAAACATCTCAACTATTTATTTTTTAACTAATTAAACACTAACTTTTCGTGACAGTAGCAACGAGCTGACAAAAAAGGGAAAGGAAAGGGAAAACATTTACCTTTTATTTCAGTTTATTTCAAATTTCTCTTCTGTAAAATTCAATGCCCGGAAAGACACGCTAGGCACGCACTTTCACACATGAGTGCTTTTGACCAAACTATGAGGCTTTCCATAAATGTACATTTTATCATTGTTTTTTTTTTTAAGTATACAACCTCTTTTTAGTGTATAAATCTCATTTTCTATAACACCTGTCACAATTGTGACTTTGTAAAGTGGCACATTTTTTTTTAAAGTTTTAAGTGTAAATGGTCGAACACACTGGTGCAAATATATGTACAGTATTTCATATTTAAAAAAAAAAATTGTTTCAACATAATATGGCAACTGTAAATTGGTTGTGAACTATAATTTAAACTGTACATGGCGTCTACAATGATGTATATAATGTAAAAAACCTTGATTTTTCAAATAAGGATTTTTTTATACATAACTTGTAAATACGTTTACTTGTACATGTATATATACATACATACCATTGTACAAAAAACCCAGGAATGTAAATGCGTGTATATTTTGTTCTTACTGTACAATAAAAAACCAGCAGTTGTTATAATAAATTCAGTGAAATTGAGATGACGCTTTGTTTTCAACAATTCTTTTGTACCAGTTGATGAGCTGTTTTGTGTTGTTCTATTTGTGGCTATTTTTTTTAAAAATTCTTTACACGGATAGTAGTGAAAGCAATGAAAACTTTTCAATATTTAAAAAAAAAAGGTAATTGCCTGTGCTTGAGAAAACAAAATATGATAAGAGGAATTATCGAAATGGAAACCTTGAAAAAATCCGTTCAAATTTTTTGGCTGCATGGAATTGGCACAAAACGATGTATATATACACATGGGCAGTTGTTAATTTTTAATGTAAATATTACAAAAAGAAATTGAAAAGTGATCTCACGGTGATAAAACCCTGAATGGGAATTTTAAATATTTTACCAATTTGGAGAAATTCAGTAGCCTCCAAATATCATGTACCAATTTGAGAATGGCCAACTCCAAGAACAGGTATGAAAAATGTTGCCGAGAAATTGTGGGAATAAATATAAGTTGTGGAATAACTGGCTTAGCTGGTATTCATTCCTATTTCTTACATCATATGTCTAATAGAAAGTGTCAACATTATTACCACGAGGAACTGCTGGATTCGGAGGGCGCCCTCTTTTGTCCCACTTTGAGCAGATACAAATTATGGTCGAGGAAAACCTGTTAAAAAAGCCTGAACTCCAAAGTGGCCGAGACCCATGTCGCCAAAAATAGCCATCAATGGTGCACCATTTACTAGTACTACATACAGTAAAGAGCGCCCTCTTGTGTTAAATGAGCAATCAGTCCGTGATCCATCTAGGGCTACTACAGCTGGATACAACATGCAGGTCTATGCAGCCACTTCCCATAGGCATGTGTATAAATCCCAGCCGTAGCCAAGTAGCTCGGACGTGGCCAAAGAATTGCGGCTCAGGTTTGTGTTGTTATAGAGCGCCTTCGTGTGTTCAAGCTATGAGCAGATGTTAGCAAATCCATCCATTCATTTATGCGAATCGTTTTCTTTATTTTAGCGACAAACAAATCTATTGAAATTGCTGAAGCTGTCAATTAAAGCACACTCTTGAAGAAAAAAAAATTCTGGAAAGTGTATTCTCTTGAGTCAAGCTTAAGAAAATAACGACCTCAAAGGAAAGAATCACCTCCCAAGTTTTATGAGATTCGTGTCATTGCAAAAACCATCCTTCAAGGGCATGAATATTAAAATCAGCAAAGCTGAGGGGCCTTCTCTGGTGTCCATTATCAGGGCTCCCTCTTGTGGCATTGTTAAGCATAAATGACGACCCGAAGCGTGAGAGAGCTCTTCATAAAACGGGAATCTTGTCCAGGATGAGATCCATATCGTTGCAGAAGTCGCTCGTCAGCGGCACGCAGTTGAAGTACTGGCACCAGGAGCAGTCCTTGAGGAGGCGGAGGTAGAAGACGGTGAAGACCAGGCAGTAGTAGGCCAGCAGACACAGGATGCTGATCAGGATCTGGACGCGCTTACGGGTCCGGTCAAACTCCCCGAAGTAGATGTAAGGCAGGAAGGTGAAGGAGAGGAAGGTGCCGCAGATGAAGCCGCCCAGGTGGGCGTAGTTGTCGATCCAGGGCAGCAGGCCCAGGATGAAGAGCAGGGCGATGATGAAGAGGAGCTTGGCCAAGGCCTTGAAGGGAGACTTGAGGATCTGCCAGCTCTGGAGGACCTCTACCACCAGGCAGGCGAGGAGGCCAAACTGGGCACCCGCTGGTCCCGTCTGGGGGACGAGGAGAGATAAACAAATGATAACACCTGTACCTGTAACTGATTCAAGGCCAACATTTTTTTTTGCAACAAAACTTTACTGCAACATTATCTTTTACTTTGAAAAAATAATTTGTTTTAAGAGAGCAAAATTACCTCTGCCCTGTAAGGAATGAATATTGCACTTGTGATATTGCCCCCGATACCGCTGAATATGTAGATGATGGAGATACGAAAGCAGCCGGCAAGCTTCTCCAAGTCTCGCAGGATTGTCATTTGCATAATTACGCTCAATATACAGTGGAAGATTCTGGAATGGAACAAAGGGCAGATAGTCATTAACGATCAAAATCCATTTTAAAAACAATTTCATTTTATTCTTAACAATTCTTCTTTAAGATTTTGATGTTTTAAGATTTTTATCTTTTAAACTCACCCAGCATGAAGAAATAGCGAGAGAAAGATTCGATAGATCTGATCTGGATATTCCGGATTGGCAAAATTCACCAGACCACATACGGCATCCAAGCAATTTATCTAGAAATGAGGTAAAAACAGAATAATTCTTAGAGCACCGAGCCCTGAAAAAAATGAAAAATTAAAAACTGATCAAATCTCTGCTATTATAAGTTACAATGTTGGACTACATACGTAACCTTAACAGGGATGAACGATATGTTGGACCCATTAAATCGAGTTAAAACAGATTTTTAAAATCAAAATAACAATGCAAAGATTCGTTAATTTTCTTGTTAGCCAATTTTTTTGGTCTTTCCATTCTGGACACGAACCTGTGAGCATAACGTCGCCTCCTCATGGTAATATCCGTTGACAAATGCACACTGGTCCCTACTGACGATCATGCACTTGCCGTAGATACCGACGCAGCACGGTCTACCGGTCAGTTCGCATGTGGTGTGCTCCTTGTCTGGTATCTCGAAGCTTTCCCAACATATCTGGTGTGAGAGCAATTGAGGAAGTTGTAAATAGTCAGGTCCAATCATGGATACTTTATGTCAACAAGAGCATCTTTGAGCAAGTTCAGGCGCGAACTATCCGCTTCGTACCCCCTACCGGCTAAGGAAGTACAGTTGGGGGTGACCGACCGACGCCATCTTGCCTGACTGCATTTTCCGCGAAGTGCGGCCACTGCGTGTACATAGTACAAATACCCTGGTGTACGTGCGTCACACACAAGGAATGGTGCGCGTCAACCAGCGAAATGTCCCGCCCATGGGACGTTGTTGCTAGGTAAAAGGGCGCCTCTTTCGGTGGCGCACCGAGCTCATAGTTCACCATTGTTCGACTAACTTTACTCGAACAAGGGATGGTTGGACTACTCTAGTCGTCTATTTGGAACTGGACCACGGGGCGCCTTTCCATCACTGGTTACCAACAGCCGTGTGCATCATACAGCGCAGCAGGGAGCCAGGACTCAGAAGTTTCATGACAATATTTTGACCATCATTTGACTAGAGGCGGTCGCACGATGAAAAAGTTTTTAAAACTTTCATGATTATGAAAACTTGTAGAACATACACAGTGTAACACATCTGTCGCTGTGTTGTATTCTTAAACTGTGCTTAACTATACAAAAGGCCGTCGAAACTGACTTTGGGCAACAAAGAGAGGGCGGGATTCTAAATGGTAACAAAATGGCGTTTATAGCATTTTGGAAACAGACTCTTCACAGTTTCAATGACAGTTACTCAGATTATGGTTAACTACAAATTGTTCTCGAACTTGTTCTAAGATGCTCAAAGCAGTTTCACTAGAGATAACACATTTTGGTTACAATAAAAATAACAATAAAATAATATGACTTGCAAAATAAAATCAACGTTGTACTACTTACAGGCCATTTACTGATGTTATCCTCCCACTCATAGGGAGGGACCGAGGCCGGGTTGGTGCAAGATCTGTTCAAAAAATTTTTTAATTTTTCATTAAATGTTGAATTTTTTTTAATTAAACTGAGAAATACATCAATGTTATATTAAGCCAAAAAAAAAATAGTCGGTCTCTGGTCAGACCGAAGTTTCAGAATTGATGCGGCGACGCGTTTTTTTTTTTTTTTTTTTTTTGGTGGCTTTTTTTTTTCAAGCTTGTATTGTACAGACAAGGTGGGTACTATTTTGCTTTTTTGTGTCCTCATTATACATTGGTGTCCTCCATAATTTGCCTTGGTGCCCTTTATCATTTGCCTTGGTGCAATTTCCCCATTCCTTGGTGCTCCTTGGTACAAAAATTTGAGGAGGCGCGGCAATAGAGGGCGCTGTTGTAGCTTCCGTGTTAATTTGAAGAAAAAAAAGAAGGTTGACGCGCATGATTAAAATCGACGCGCGCGCTGACCAGAGACCGAGTTTTTTTTTTTGGGGCCTTACACACCATTTGGCAATTATTCTCAATCCCTTTATACCTTGGATCTTGTCCGCAGACAGACCCAGACGTTCTGGAATTTTCGGGATCCGCTGAATCCGGCCACTTGATGAAATTTGAAAACCGCGTCTACAAAAAGAAAGAAAGAAAGAAAGGAAAACACCTGTTATTTGATCAAACAATGGAACACTGATTAGCTAAGCTGGCACAGTGCCAGAATAGTGACATTATATTGCTATCTTTTTAGTTTATAGGTAATATACAACATTTGCTTTTGCTGTAATTTTCAGAAATGGATGGATTTGGGAATTATATTTTATAGCAAATATTGTTACCGGACCCGTTTAAAGTTTTGTGTTCCTAGATGCTGGAAAACCAAGGAAGAAAAAATGCTGTTCTTGTAGTCTGGTTCCCTTACCCTACTTCAGACGAAACGGAGCACTTTACAGACTTTGGGGAATTGTCAGGTCAGGGAACCAGACTAGCTGGATCTGTAACTGACTGCAAACAAAATGTGGACTAACTAAATTTGGTAAAATTGGGGGCAGTGTTTGAAAAATAAATCAGTATTTTCCCAATGATGGTTGGCTGACCATGATTGGAAATTGACACAAAAATTCCACTTTTCTTGAAAATGACAGCACACTCGGTACCCTGCTTTTACAGGATGCTTGAGACTATTATTCACTTACAGTCAAGTAAGGTATTTCATAATAATTTGGTACTTTTGTTTATTGATGTTTTGCAAATGATTTATATTACCTTTAAATTTAAATTTTTTTTTTTTTTAACTTACTGGACAGTCTTCTGGGAGGGTTTGCACGCAGCCGGATTTGTCTGTTCTTATACAGCATCCCGTCGTGCTTTCTAATTCCCTGTCATCATCGATGCTTTGGTGGATCTGACGGTCTCTATGCATGCAGGGTGAAAACTTGGCACCTAGATGTATCAGGTCGGCCTGTGTAGTAAACAGAAGAAATATTATCAAGGATATTACTGAGGAAAATGAGGAATGCATTTTGAAGTCACCAAGTGCTTTGTTAGTGGGGCAGATACGGGAAATTATTTAGGGGGAATTGTGTCTTTGATGATACAAGCATGGCATTTGGCACACAGTCAGAGTATGTCATGAAAAAGATATTGGGCTATAGGGCCATCACAGATTTGTCCTTCAAAAAAAAAAATTAGGTAGAATAACAAGCAATTTTCAAAATTTTCAAAATGGCTGCCATTGCTTGTCATTCTACCCATATTTTTTCAAAGGGCAAATCTGCGATGGCCCTATAACCAAACATCTTTCTCATGATATACTCTGACTGTGTGCCGAATTCCATGCTTGTATCATCAAAGGCAGAATCCAATCACCTAAATCTACAGTGACATGGCAGTGGTAACTTTTGACAAAAAAATGACTTCAAAAATGACGCAATTTAGGTTTGATTAGTTTTTATGGACCACGCAGATAGCAAACTAGGTTACAGTCAACCTTAAAATACTGGCCAGACAAAGGCAACGCTCCTCCCTACCATATCCCATCCCTGTAATTGGTGGTTCTTCCTCTGTTGGATGTGGTTAATAATATGCCCCAAAACAAAGTGGTTGAATTCTGCCCAATTCTGTACTGCAAATGTTTCAACAGCTCAAAAACTGACTGTGCTTTTCAATTTTGACAGAGCCTGTCTATGTCTGCATTTAGGCCTTGCATGCTACGCAGCCCATAAAATCTCATTGCAATGCCCATGGGCCGAACTTTGCAGGCACTGTTAACTGTCCGTTGAGAAGCTTGTTTTGCTGATGTGCCTCTCCAAACATAGTTTTTAGCTGCGGACAGCAGCACAACCAATTGTTGTGTCTCTCCGTTAGTTGGTTGGTTAGTTAGTAACAAACGTCAGCAACAGCCTTGCATGGCTATAAATCACTTTGTCCAGTTACATATCAACTCCTTCCTCAGGCCCGGCCCTCTGTTGTTCTCTTTAATGGGTCTCCACGGACAGCCTACCAATTTTTTATGCAGTCCTGGAAAATGGGGTCACTAGGGTCAAAAAGCTGATGTGTGTACTGAAAACACTACTCCTTCTAGAAATTACATGGCACAATCATGCCACACTAGCATGAACACAAATGTGTTGGCCCGCAGCTTCCACGATCGTTTCGAGCTTGTTTGAGGAATTATATGCTGTGCTTGTTTGGATTGATTTGTACCAACACTGCCTGCAGTAAACAGAGATGAAACTGGCATATGGCAAAAAAATCGGAAAATAGGCCGAACAAAAATACGTGTCCGAAATCTGGGCCGCACTGCAGATACACACATGTACATGCATGTACAATACACTTCATGCCCAATTTCCAGACACCAACTCTTGCTTATTTTTGATTCAAACAAAATTTTACGATGGAAAAAAAAAGGTCAGTGTTTTCATTGCATAAAATGCCTGAATTAGGGTTTAAGTAATGGAGTCATCAACAGAGAAGATCACTTCTTACTTGAGAAAGTCGAGAAAATAGTCCGAAAGACAAGGGCACCGTTCATGGTGCTTCAAATCATGTCCATGATTCAACCACATAACTCCACTTGCATTCGTACGTGGGGAAAAATCAGGCATTATCGTCTTTCTCTTCCAGCAAATGCCAGTGAAATGTTTCGCTAATGCTCTCTTCGCTATCCTCGAGATAATCATCATGATTTTTAAAGCATTGCATTTTGTACAACTAAATCTGAAACCTCCAAAAATCGCACAACATAATGATTTTATCCACTGGTTCGTTCACAAGGCTACCCGTTCCCGACCGGCCATGTGCTAGCGGACAGTACGGTGCGGTACGTACGCTGGTACCATTGCATATGTCACCTGTCAATGTTTAACCTTTTGTCCAGCCAGAAAAGGCTCCGATCAGTGTTACGGCCTGTGTTTCTACCGTTGAAACACTCCAACAATGACTGGTGAAAAAGATTAAAACTACGTTCGCGATGATTTTAACGTGCCATTTCCATCGAATTTTCTTCGAAATTATGATTGAAATAAAATGACATTTTGTGAAAAATCGTTACCAAATCCACTTTTGTGGGACACAGTGTAAGAAAATCGGAAATTTCGTTGGAAAATTAAAAAAAGTCGGATTTCCGATTAAAATCGGAAAAGTTTCATCTCTGAGTAAAGTAGCAACATTTCCTCATGGATCAAGCCTAAGGCTACACACAAAAGCTTATACGTAATGCCAAGATAATGAAAGGGGTAAAACTAAGTGGATTTCCGCAGTTTGGTGCTACAGCTTAAAACTGATCCCTACGATACTTACTGGTCTGGGGCCGATCCAAAAGTTGTCTGGTTCCATGTACCCCACCGTCTGTATCACCAGGTTTGACTGCTGTACCTACAGTACAAACAACCAAAACAACAGATTAACACAAATCCCTTCACTTAAAAACTTAATAAAAAAAACCCAACACATTTAAGAATTTCCCAACTTCAAATGCACTGAATTCATTTGCACTAATACTACACATTTAACACTTTATATCCCAGGAATATTATTAGAAAATGTGGACTAAAAATTACCCTTTTAACAGAACAGAACAGAACTGTAAAAAAAAAAAACATGATGAAATGATCTGAAGGGTATTTTATGTTCATGTCCTGTCCTACGTATTGACTAGTATGCTTTAGTATTCAGGAGACAAACTGATACAGAAACCGAAACTGGCACTTAATCTCTGCCGTGATTATTTGCCAGAAATCGCTTTCGATTGGTATTAGAAAACTATTTGAAGTAGTTCTAACCCATTGGGAAAACATGTTGAGTGAGAAGCAGCCAGCGAGAGGTTTCGTAATGAAGGAAGTACGGAGCTCAAGAGACACATCTTTACTATCATAAAATCCCTCAAATATAATAAAGATTATAACTGAGAAAGGATATAATATTTGGCAATTATTAATTTACACAGGGGTATGTGTTCGCTTACCAGATCTGTCCTCTGTGAATAGCTGAAGCCGATTGGTGCAAATCCATAAAACGCTATGGAAACGATGACGATGACTATTTGGACTGTTGTTACCCAGTATGTAAAATAAGGCCTGGTGAAAAAAATAGAATATAAATTAATGAATTCATTTTTGACAACCGGTCAATTTCTTTGAAAAAAAAAAAAATTACACTGTCAGAGGTCATTAGCACATGCCACAAAAACCACTGCTGTACCCAAAAGGTCAACTAAATTGGATGCTCTGTTGATTTTCAATTTTGCAATTTCCTTACGCCAGAGAAGGCATGCTTAAAAAAAAAAGGAAGAAAATCCACAAAAATGGTAAGCACTGTTATTTAGGTAAGCATGACATAATCAGCAACGATAGGGTAACATCTCAGTTATTTCATGAATTTCCGTACAGTTAAAATCTAGTGTCAAATTCTGTTACCTATGATCCTCAATCTCCTCGATCTGTTTCCGGACGTTGCTGTCCATCCGCCGGGATTTGTAACTCCGGTTCAGCACCCTCCCCACGAGTCCCTTTCCAATTTGCCTCCGGTCTGAGTTGTCAAACGCCCCCTGCATGATCTGCTCGGCAATCTTGTTCCTCCGAATCGACGGCAGGATGGCGTCTGGCAAGTCTTCAGCTAGGATCGGTGCCATGCGGAACTTGTCTTCCGTGTTCTTTTTCCGCCAGCCGATTCCTGTCGGGCTGCATGGTTTGTGTGGAGGAAAAAAAAATGATCAATTGAAGAAAATGTGACCTTTTGAGGCTTGTCTTGTCTCGATAAATACTGCAACAGCGCCCCTTCTCAGGATCACAAGGGCAGGGTTGGTTGTGCGCATGGAGTTGGTTAGTTGGTTAGTTGGTTAGTTGGTTAGTTGGTTGACTTGGGTGCTTCTTTCTCACAGATGACATTGAAGTGTGTGTTGATGGCAGATTTGAAACTTCCTTTATCCTGAATAGATGCAATCTCTTTAGGCAGTGAGTTCCAGTTCACTAATATGTGTGGGAGAAATGATTGCTTGTAGCATTTTTTGTTTGCTTGGATTGGTATGAAGGTGTCGGTGGTAATCACCAGTTTGTCTGGTATACCGTTTTCTAAAAACTTGGCAGACTTAGAAAATACTGCTTATCCAATTTGTTGTCTTCTAACTGGTGCTAAGTACACAAGCATTGGTTGGGCATCAGGTTAATCCCCTCCACCACAAAGCAAAACAAAACCCATCAAAAGTAAAAGCTGGCATTCGATCAAAATACGAGAACAATGTATAACAGCTCAAAGTTCACTTTCATTTCTGGTACACTGAGGCAACCATAATGCTTCTAGATCTTCCATATCAATCCACAAGGAGGTTTCAAAGTACTTTTCAGGGTTGAATACCCGACAGAGCAAAGCCACAAGTGGTTCACACGGTGCCTGATGCTCAGTGAAACTATAGCTAAAATGAATGAGCCATTTGTTCCTTCACAGAGTATTTTGGAATATGCGAACAGAGTTTAAAATACAATTCCCGCACCGCCCCAAACTGCCCTGTCTATTACTCCCTGTACTGCCTGAAAGTACTCGGGCACTCACCGCTTTTAAGGATTCTTTTAGTGAATTAATCCTTACCCTACTAGACCCTCCAACGCATGCCAATATGTGCCTCAAGAAAATCTCCTATGTTTTTTGCATGGCCCTCCAATATCTGCCATGTCATTTCAAGGGTAACTGGACAGGCACTCCAATACATGCCACAGAGAACAATGAGAGTCCTCTGATAACAAAATGAGTGCCCCCAGCTGGTCAGTATCAGGCACCCTCCAGGGCCTCCAACTCCTGCCAATTGGAGCCTTCACTGTTAAGACAAACTATCTGCCAATAAACTGCAGCTGGAGGGCATTGGCATAACCAACTGACATGCAGTAAACTACCCTCAGAGAGTAAGGGTTAATAAGGGAATAAATGTGTGCTTGGGAGGTGTTAAACACTATGTTTAAGACTGGTTGGAGTCTGGAATGCTGATAATTACACAAGGCGAAAAATACCTTTTCGGTCAAAAAATCAAAACTTTTCGGTCCAAAAGTCAAAACAAGTCAAAAATAAAAAATTTCCAACGATTTTGTTCAACAGTTTTACTTTCTGTTTTTCGAAACACCTCCCTAGCTATATAATAGAGTGTCCAGCTCGCGAGTAAGATGTAAACAACTCCTTTTATGGAGATTGGTGTGTGCGTCGCGCGTACTGTGCGATGACGCGCAGATGCAGCTTTGGTGAGTGCGCAGTGAATTTAGGACTATGAAATACTGACTCATTGGTCGTATTGCGCATGCCTATGTGAGGATTGTGAACGTTCAACCAATAAAATGGTAAAAGGCACTGGACTTCACAGGAGTCCAAATGCGACACTGGAAAAGTGTTTAAAACCAGCCAGCCATGTCTTTATCATGCGTTTAAGACCGGCCACGTGACGGGCTCTCGACCAATAGGAATGGGTAAACTGTCTTAGGTATTTATGAATACAATGTAATACAATGTACTACAGATTCTAATGGGTTAAAGGGTTTCAAAAGTGTCTAGAGTACTCCTAAGGATGTGCAACGTGAAATCTTCTCTCTTAGTTTCTAAGTGTTTGTAAATGCTGAATACTCACATCATTTGTGCCATGGCTGCGGCCACTCTCCCGTCCAGAGGCTCACCCGCCGACGGGACGCGCTGAGTGGGTAGCAAAGGCAGGGGTCTGACTCTCAATACAGCGGGGGCCTCCTGGACCTCAGGGGCGGGCTGACTGGGCTCATCGGGGGTGGGTTCTGGGGTGGGTTCTGGGAGTGGCTCTGCCGGGGAGGGTGTCGTGGGGAGTTCTTTGGGAAGTTCCTCGGTGACCTCGGGGCTGGGGAGGTAGGGAAGGCTGGCCGACATTTTGGCTGTGAGGTGGAGAAGTTGGATTCAGACGTATTAATTTAACATGTGCTCAGCAGCTAAGTACACAGTAAAGATCACTTCTGCTTGAAATGGAAATTACACAAACCCAGACAATGTGATTCAGCGAATAGCTTTAACACTTCACTAAAAACTTTGCCTTCGTCTAGGGTTTTACATTTTAATAATAATAATAATAATAATAATGCATTCTTATAAAGCGCATTACATCAAAGAAAAATCTCAATGGGCTTTACAAAATTAATCGCATAAAAAAGTCATAATAGTACATTAAAAAGCTCGTTAAAAATTTACGGTAGATCAGAAACATTGATTAAAACACACAGTAAGACTCATTAGAAATACATTAAAATCACAATCACTTGGAATATTACTTAAAAACTTGACGGTAATAATATGTTTTTATTGCTGACTAAAAAGATATATTTTTTTTTACTACACTCTATTCATAAGATGGGATTTTGCATCGTGATGTAAATCAAATTAGGTTTTGCCCTTCACTGACGTATAAACACTGTATACTCAGTGTATTACCTCCCGAGTGAAAGTTGGAAAAATCACTCGGATGGGACTTGAACCCACAACCTCCTGCTTAACAGTGTTTATACGTCTGTGAAGGGCAAAACCTAATTTGATCTACTGCACTCTATTACAGCCTTTCCATGATGAATACGGCCACGTCCAAAATGGGCATTGTTGTCTCTGGCTACGGCTATTAACAGTAAGGCATCAATGAAAAAAAATCAAATCCATAGCCACAAAATATTCAATTGGACCTGGCCTCATATTCCACGCCATACAGAAATGTATTTAACATTCAACATAAATAGTATGCGAAAGTCACATCAAAGGCTGCTTCCAAATTACTTGGCTACGGCTTGCAACTACACATGTGCATATGGAAGAAGCCACAGCCACTTCCCATGGGCATGTGTTTTACAGCCTGCCATAGCCAAGAAAAATGGCTTTAGACACAGTCATTATACTGTACCTTTGATTTCCTTCATGTCTTGTTCTTTGGGTGCGGCTGCTTCGTCCGTCTCACCTTTTTCTGCTTCCATGACAGTCGGTAGCGAGACGGCCTCTCGTAGCCTGAGGTCATCGTCGGTCAGGTCACAGGGCACAGCGGCCGCGGCGGCAGCTGCGGCAGGTTCTGTCTTCCTCACGGGGGACTGCCGGACGTGTTTTGGGGAAGTGGTGCTGAAGAAGACGTCATCGGCAAGCTCGTCTGTGAGCTGAAATGCAGGAAAGCAGAAAACGATTGTTTTGCAAATTATTTTTCATCTTTTTCACTTCTATCTAGTACCACTGGGCGAGTAACTCGATTACTCGAGTATGCTACTTGTTGTTCTACTCATGGTCTTTCATCTACTTGAGTACTTATCCTGGTGCGAGTAAAGGCAGGAACTCGCGAGTTGCAATGTAGGGTTTAGGGTTCACTGATATACGTCCCATGCAAACAGGGACTCACGCCCTCTACTTCTCTCTCCCAAGCATTCCATTTGTCCAAAAAAACCCCAAAACCTGATGAAAATAGGTTTTAAGGATGTTTGACAGAACAAAAAAAAATGGAGAATGCTAAAACAGGACTAAAAGATCAAGGTTCACCTAGAAACAAAAAAATTGACCACCCCCTTCTAATTTTGGCTTCGCCCCACTGTACTGCAAAATGGCAATTTCCGACTTTAAGCCCGTTTTGTAGTGAAAGGTCACATACATGCACAGACAGGCACAGGAGTTTTCCAAAGAAATAAAAAAGGGATGCCCTTATCCTTCCAGGGGCATCACGCCCAGTGAGAAGCCAGTGGCTGGGCTCTATATAATCCCCAATCCTCCGACTTCTTGGAGGATTTGAAGGATCCACAAGGGTTAGGGTTAATTAACACAAAGTACACAAATTAAGAGAAACGTACCACTCCTGGGGAGAAGAACGGCGTTGTGTCCATTTCCTCCTCGTCCTCGTATTCACCGATGATCAAGCTGGCTGGTGCAAAGCTGCGGCTGTGAAGTAACGGCGGCCGCTGCTGCACCAAACAGTCCTGACTCACGCTCTGCTTGGGAGCAGTCTTGGGTTGCTGAAAACGACAAAACAAGGCGTGGTTAGTATGCCCTCACTGGACTTCTCACTCTGCAGTGCGTTCAAGCTTAATGCAGTTCTGCGAAAGTGTTGTAACTTGAGTCCCGTTCTGTGTCCGCAATATGTTCTCAAATTTTGAGGTTGTAGGAGTCAAATCAAAGCACTTCCAAAGAGCTGGAATCTACATGTTCAAACTCACAACTGACACAGTACATGTATAAGCAAGAAATGAAAAAGTATCAAGAGTTTGAGTCCGAATTATTATGCAAATTTTTTGACATTTTCTGGATACATTGCACATACATGCATTCAAAAGCCCAAATACTTAGACCAGCAGTCTAGTTTCTGAGGTATATCGTAGAGTTTATATCTCGTTTCACTTGTACTTGGAACAAGACTCGAAACACTATTCTGAAGGTCTACAGGAATGCCACAGGTGCTATAGCCTCCGTTGCCTTGTTATTAACCTTGGCGTTCTTTAAGTACCTACATGTATTTAAAAACAAACAAATGGCCTTGCCACTGTACCAAACTCAATTCCAAGCCTGGTGTACTGAAAAACTGGGAACGCCATCTCTTATCATGTATGACATCATTCGTGTCGATTGCCGATAGGTAAAACAGCCACCCCAGTATCTGTTTCATGTTATTTCTGCATGTTTCCCAAATATACATCAATACTTTTAAATTGTCAATATTTTATACATGTAAGTCATAGAATGGTATCATACAGGTCTCTCTCAAACGACCTCACTTCCTACAGATCGTCACGTGCATTAGCATTTTGGGCGTCACATTTTTGTGATGCTCATTGGCGCGCCATATTTCAAACAAAGTTTGAGCAACACGCACACGTGTTTACAACATTTTGCACTCTGCGCACATACGCTCCTGATGGCGTTGAATACACAGTTGTAATTTTCCTACAAAGATGGCGTCCTATGAGAGAGATCTATTGCTGACATTTGTTATGAATGCGATCACAACGTCCAATTTTGAAATCAAGTGTGCCATGGTCTAATGGTAATACATTTTTGTTCCGTCTCACCCTGACGGATTGTCTCAAGACGTCCCATCCCATCTTGGCCACCGACTGCCTCTTGCTGCGTTGCCTGGTCAGTCGGTGCGATACCTGCTTCTGGAACACGCTGCTGCCGGCTGTCATGCTGCTCATGGCCGAGTTCAGCGGCTGGCGGGTCCCGTCCGTTTCGTCCATCGTTGTTCTCATCTTGGGCCTCGCTGTAGAAATGAAAACATAATTTTAGGGGAGTTTTATTCAGGAAGTGTCATGTACAGTTACATTCTGAATGAGACAGTTTGCTTACTCAAAAGGCGAAGTGGGGATTTTGTGAAGAACAAGAGATATCAGTTCGAGTTTCTCTTTTAGCATATTACACTTTACATGTAAATTGTGTGCCTTATGTACTTGTCAATTGTAACCCGCACCCCGGGAGACCCTGGACTAGCAGGGACTTAGCCGGGGACTTCCATATTGAAATTTGGAAACCCCCGGGTAGTCCCCGGTAAGTTTCTAGTCAAGTGCCACGGGCGGGGACACTGTTTTCTTGGAACCCATGGGTAAGTCCCCGCCCCCGACCGCTGGGCATAAGTTGGAAGTCCCCGCACAGTCCAGGCCGTAGTACACCGGGCCTAATGTGGAAGTCCCTGCATATGCCCCGGCAAAAGATGCCTGGCATAATGCCCTAAACTAAGGCCACTCAGTCATGCCTTAGACAATTCATGATTTTCTGATTTCTCAATCCCCACGCATTCTGATGCATGTCGTTCATGTATGTATACATCATTGTACATGTATAGACTAGTGATTTTCCGAAGGTAAGTCCCGGAGTAACTGCTTGGAAGTCCCGGTATTAGCCCCGGGCAATGCCCCGGCCGGCGGGGCATGCTTTTTGGAAATCCCCGGGTATCGCCCCGGCTTGCGGGGAAACCCCTTTGGAAGTCTCGGGTCAGTCCCGGGGTAATGTCCGGGGTAGCGGGGCACCTTTTTCTTGGAAACCCTCGCGTAGGTCCCCGCTAGTGCCCCTTTATAGCCAGGGTCCCCCAGGGCGCGGGTTACAATTGACAAGTGCATTATCACAGTAATTCACAGTAAACTCTTAATGTTATATGCTCCACCACGCATAGCCTAATATCACATTTTTTTTGGCTCAAATTCTGACATGGCAGACACTTCAATTGTTGCATGTTATCTAAAGTACTAAATGTGAAAAATCCTCAATTTCTGCAAAATTTCATGGGCAAAATGCCTTGGTTCAGCAGAATGTCACTATAAGAAACACTGCTAATAGCAGCTGGTTACAGATTCCATGTAGGAACTGTGGCGCTGTTTAGCCTTCTATATTCATGAGAGGAACGAAGGAGGAATGGGTGTGTGCAACTGTTGAAAGCATATGGCACGAGCGTACCGGTACATGCCCCATTTTATTGTCAGGCAAATTAGGACAGAGTTATGGGGACTTGCTGCTGTCCCCACAAGGCAATTCCACGGTTACTCACGTTACATTTTTGATGTACTTTTGAGTTTCCTTGGGCTGTAATTACCTTACTGAAAAAGTTTAATAACTGTTATCCCCATGGTAGTTAGAGTAGACCTAGACCTACCTAAGCACCAAAGATGACATGCAGAAAAATGTGTTATGATAAACAAGACGCACAAAATCGGTTACTCACGTTACGAAAATGTAACGTGAGTAACCGATTTTGTGCGTCTTGTTTATCATACATAACACATTTTTCTGGATGTCATCTTCGGTGCTTAGGTAGGTCTAGGTCTACTCTATCTACCATGGGGATAACAGTTATTAAACCTTTTCAGTAAGGTAATTACAGCCCAAGGAAACTCAAAAGTACATCAAAAATGTAACGTGAGTAACCGTGGAATTGCCCCACAGCATTTTTGGTCCCCACAAATACATGTACCTGGTAAAGACGAGCACGTATGTCCCCACAACTACAGAACAAGAGAGTGCGTACATGTGCGTACATATTTTGCAATTCTGCAACAAGCTAACAGTGATGTTCAAACACACACCTCGATTGAACACCGCCTTTTTTTTGGTTGCCTTGTACCACTTGTAAAAAAAAAAAATTGTTATGTATGGTATCTGTACCATCCAAGGTTGTTATCCACCTCGTGTCATGTGTCAAGACAAACCCAAGCCCTGAGATCACAAGGCTGTCTGCTAAAGTACTTGAGAAGAATTCTTTGCATGTGCACATACACGTGAAACATTCGTGCTCAATCATGACAAGATTCGTTGCTAATTGCCGCCAGATGTTGAAGGGAGGGTAAACCCTTGAGATAATGACAGAAACAGAGCGCTGATGGAATAAAAATATGTTTAAAGGGGGTTCTAGTGTCTTAACTAAGAAGATGAGCCAATGAACATGCATTGCTGTACTGCTGACAATTCTGCCCAATTAAGGAAATTAATTTTAAAGAAGTGGGCGGGGTCGATGGCAAAATCCAGAAAGGTCCACTGAAGAAACTCATCAAATCTGATCTTTTTTTTTTACAGTATAATTGGTTGCATTAGGGGTCATGTTGCCCATGGATACGACCTCTCGTTCCATCAGGTGATACATTATCACAAGGTCGTTGTCACTCATCCAAAGGGTCAATAATGTGCGACCATGGGGTCATGTTGCACATGGACATGACCTCTTGTTCCATCAGGTCATTCTACATTATAACTAGGTCAATGTCACTCACCCAAAGGGTCAATGATGTGCGACCATGGGGTCATGTTGCCTATGGACATGACCTCTTGTTCCATCAGGTCATTCTACATTATCACAAGGTCATTGTTACTCACCCAAAGGGTTGATAATATGCTGCATTGGGGTCATGTTGCCTATGGTCATGACCTCTTGTTTCATCAGGTCATTCTACACTATGACAAGGTCATTGTCACTCACCCAAAGGGTCAATAATGTGCGGCATCAGGGTCATGTTACCATTGGACATGACCTCTCGTTCCATCAGGTCATTCTACACTATGACAAGGTCATTGTCACTCACCCAAAGGGTCAATAATATGCGGCATCAGGGTCATGTTACCCATAGTCATGACCTCTCGTTCCATCAGGTCATTCTACATTATCACAAGGTCATTGTTACTCACCCAAAGGGTCAATAATATGCAGCATTGGGGTCATGTTACCATTGGACATGACCTCTCGTTCCATCAGGTCATTCTAAACTATGACAAGGTCATTGTTACTCACCCAAAGGGTCAATAATATGCTGCATTGGGGTCATGTTGCCCATGGTCATGACCTCTCGTTCCATCAGGTCATTCTAAACTATGACAAGGTCATTGTCACTCACCCAAAGGGTCAATAATGTGCGGCATCAGGGTCATGTTACCATTGGACATGACCTCTTGTTCCATCAGGTCATTCTACACTATGACAAGGTCATTGTCACTCACCCAAAGGGTCAATAATATGCGGCAATGGGGTCATGTTGCCCATGGTCATGGCCTCTCGTTCCATCATGTCGTCCTCTAAATGAGCCTTGATGCCTCCGTGTCGCCGGCTCAGATGCCGCGATCGTCGTGACTGCCATCTCCGCTGATCCTCGTGCGCGTTATCACCCACGCCAAAGAAATTGGCTGTCACGCTCTTAACACGACTGGAAAAGACCAAAAAAAAAAAAAATCAATGAAGTTTCATTCTAAATTGAAATACAAACCTGAGCAAAACATAAATGTAAATTAGAAAAACTCCGGTTTTTCCCAACAAATTTAAAGAAACAAAGTCTCTTAAATTTATTCTAATAAACGGAACTATATATATTTTGCTCAGATGGACAAGACTGAAGATGAAAATGAAATGACCTTTGCTGGAAAAATTGACTGTGTCATGAGGTTCTGTGCGTGTGTACTGTACATACGTACCACCCATCCAGCAAAATGTTGAAGGTCAAAATGCCTACGTCAGAGTAGTACATAATACGTACATGTACTTCATTTGCATACATGTAATGTACATGTACATATATGCATATAGTGTGTTTTGAATTGTACTATACATATGGTATTTTAATACAGAATGACTAGAAGTAGTTAATCATGCTGAAATTTACAACATTAACAACTGTTTGACCTTTAAGATTGAATTCATTATGAAAAGTTTGATGAGCGAAGACTATGTATACACAGACTCAAAATGTGGACCATGACGGACCATTTCAAGTCTGATAGTGGCCTGCAAATTGATTGACAGACCAACCTACCGTACATGTAATTTACATATCTACACGCGTACCAATAGGATGCTGCATTAAGCGTGACTCATGAGCGTGCAGGAAAAGTCGGCCAATCAAAACTAAAGGGGGAGGAGGCACAGCCAAGATGCATAGCAACCAATACGATTAATATAAAGCACGTCAGTGACTCCTGACGACGGGCAGAGCATACTGTCCGAAACGCCGGTTCTTTTCAGAACCTCACAAACTCACAAAAGAGATTTGTCACACGGTGCTACCATGAATCTTTATCGTATTGCTTACCCTTCACCATGCAATCCTTCAAATCTTATCCGACCAATATGATATCAGAAGCTCAAGGCCGTTGCCTGTCCTTATGTGTTATGAGGTCAGGTCTTCAGCCTAGTGTAGTGGTTGAACATTGTATGGGCAGAGCTCGGCAATAAGCCATTTGCGAGTTAAATTTGAATGAAATCTGGAACGCTGACTTAATCCAATGCTTTGCACGTTTTAACTTTGCATTCTCCTGACCTAAGAGACTGTTGTACTACATGTATATCACGTGATTCGGGGCAAGCCTTATGCTACCAACCCCCAGCTCCGGCATGGTCTGGTGTCTTTGTGCCATTCTCACCCATTGTGAGCAATGTATTGGTGCTAAGCGTCTCTTACGTAACTATGCAAGAGCTTGCCCCGAATCATGTGATTAGCAACAGTGTCTTTGGTCTGGAGAATTCAAAGTTCAAATGTGCCAAGCATTCTGAGCAAGTCAGTGTACCAGATGTTTTTCAAACGTAAATCCCAAAGGGTATAGGTTACTCACAAATGGCTTATTCACTTATTGCCACCCTTTGCTTAAATCCCTTGTTTTTTTGCTGGGATACAGAACTTACTTCATGTCAAAAGTGAAGGCTTCAAACTACTAATTTATAATGTGCTTCAAGCAAGATTTGAGTACAAACTGATGGAGAATTGAAACAAAATGTTGAAAAGACGGCCACAATGTCCCATCATGTCAGTCCCGGGGTCACGGGGTCATCAGAAAATATTTCCAACATGTTTCCATCACTGCCCAGGGAAAATCCCAAGCATGCGCCAGCACACCTTACAATGAGGTTTCTCAGAAAAGATACAAATCATTCGGGAAGTATTCAATTAGGCTGTACAGGGAAAAAAACTTACAAAGTACCGGACACATACTGACGTGGCTGTCTCATTGTCTGCTGTTTTTCATGTTGAATACACGCTGTTTTTCATGTTTAATACAAATAGCGGTGTGTGTAATGTATGACTGGACATGTAGGCCTATAGCTTGTCGATTTTCAAAAGCTTATTTTTTGGAAAAGATTCTCTTGGAAAAAGATTTCAGGCTGTTTGAATTATGGGGGGAAGTACACAGTACGGTAAATGTGCATTTCCATAACAAATATCCTAGAAAGGCCAGTGATACAATTGTACATCAAGTCAAAGCTTTTCCATCATCTACTCCAGGCACAATTCTGCAATACATTTTGTCAGTCCACTTTATCTGTACACCACTTGACCCAATCAAAGGTGACATGCCCCCTTAAAGCCGTCTAGCGCATCTAGAGAGAGGGTCCTAAATCTAAATGTGCATTAGCTCTTCTCTCTTGATTGGTTGTGGGGCCTAATGTAACAATGATTGATAGATTGGTGATATACACTCTGACATTACGGTATGAACGGGCAAATCTGTAGAGACAGGGGATGAAAGTGCTTGGCGGACTTAAAGCCAAGCCTTAAAGCCAAGCCGCAGGGCCGGCTGAATTTAATAAACTGAAAAGAAAATGGAAGGAAACAATCCACTTAGTAAAGATTCCTTCAATAATCTCACGCTCAACTGATTCAGTTTCAGTAGGCCATATTTTTGAGATGTCCTTCCATGTAACCGGCCAATACTATAGCAAATCCAATTCCCAATGAAACACTAAGAATTTGTTTTAAAATTGTGAACAAATTTAACTGATCTGATATGGCTGACAAATAAAGAGGTGCATGCTTACAATATCAGGTACCCGGTACATGTAAGCATATGTACTGTAGGCCCTATGTTGTACGGGTTGGAGAAATCAGAGATTTCACAATCTGGTTATCCTAATTTGTTTTCAATCTGAATAGGGTCATTCCACCAGGTTGGGGACCAATGTGTGACATATCACCATATTAAGAAATACATGTACATGTATATGGATGTAACATGCACTGCTTCCCAACCCGGTGGAATGACCCATGTTGTAGTGGTGGCAGAAATCAGAGATTAAGACATTTCAAAATCCGGTTATCCTAATTTGTTTTCGATCTGAATACTGGTAAATCTGATTTCACCAGAAGTTCCCATCCAGCTGGCAGTCATGCCAACAAAAAGTGACGAGTGAGGTGCCACATGCAATGCCCTCCCAATGACTGGGTATATGTACATGTAGTTTGCAGGATTCAATGAACACTGGGCCTTTACAGCTACACTCCAAAGAAGACCACTGTGACTATACCGGTAGTTACAATCAGAGACCATTAGGGGATGTTCCATTTAAAAAAAAAACCTAACCCCCTACTGGTAGTTCCTCAGGACTACCCTGCTAAATCCAACAGAGTCCAGGTCTGGAGTTTCCTGTCCACTGTGCCTTATTTTTAGTTGTCTGCTGAATCCAACGAAGTCCAACTTACCGGTAGCGTTATAATGCGGTTCAGCTGCCTGCTGAATCCAACATTTTGCATCAGGAATGTACACAAGGGGTTTACTGCTCAATCCAACAGGCTCCATCGGGTATATGACATACCGTAGTTGGATCCCGTTGGATTCAGCAGGGTAAGGGTTAAAGGTTGGTTTTGAATATCCGATTTCCAAAATCCAAACTTATAGCAAACCGAATAATGGAATTCAAACCGAATGTTAAAATATTCAGATTTAAATCCCACCACTAGTATACATTCACGCACACATGTACAATTTGTACACATGTACATACATGGAGGATATAACATTTTTCAATGCAACATGTACACGTACATGTACATGTACATCCATGGAACATCGGCATAAATTTGTACATGTACCCGTATGTACATGTACTGTACATGGACATGTCCATAATATGCAGACCTCCCATACTTACTCCCCCTAGCTCTCCCTCTCACATCATTAAATATTGGTTTAGATTAAAAAGTGTCAAATTTCACAATGCATGGCAATTGCTTGGGATTCTATCCCACGGCCCCCTGGGATGGAAGTTTCATCAGTAAATAACCTCCTATGCAAAAACAGCCCCCTGGAAACTCGCACAGCCATTCACGCAGAAACAAAATATTCTTTAACACAATTCATGGCCTACAGGTACATTTGTAGATGTCATGTACCGGTGCATGTTACATGTAATGTCCTCGTGTATACTGACTTTATCTTCCAGTTCAAATCTAAGCCTCTCGGAATTACTATGATCTTGTGCAAAATGAATTTGTTCAAAACATTCTAGAAACGAGCCCACTAGTCTTTCAGCATTCGCAGTGACCTGTGGTGGAGGTTGGGTCTCTGTTATCAATCAATAAAACGAGGGAGACACAGTGGTGCCCTACAGGTATAGAGCTGAAAGGATGGCAGGCATTGTATGCTTAGCAGGAGTCGCGATCTTTGCTACAATGTATGTACCGTACTTCCAGGGAAAGAAATCTGATATGAATTTTATCAATAACATTTCTGCCAGTGTACCGGTATGAACTCTCATACATACTGTGCATGTAGTTTTAACCGGTCCTAGCTCTATGGTTTTAACAGAATGTGCAACAAAAATGTCTGCACTTTTAAGCTGACAAGACAATTGAATTAATTCTTAATTGCCTTTCTACTATCAAGACAAAAATTATCCATGGTTCAAATGATCCGTGTTTTAAAAAAATAAGGTATTCAGATTCTTATGGACATTGGATAGTAAAATTATCCATGGTTCAATATTATCCATGGTTCAATCTTATCCATTGTTCAAAACGATCCATAATATTGGTTCAAAATGATCCATGTTTAAAAAATAAGTTGTCCAGCATTTTATCTAGCAAAATTATCCATGGTTCAATATTATCCATGGTTCAATATTATCCATGGTTCAATATTATCCATGGTTCAATATTATCCATGGTTCAAAATTATTCAAGGTTGAAATAAAGTTATTTGGTCTTATGGACACTGAAAAACAATATTATCCATGCTTCAAAATCATCTATGCTTCAAACTTATCCATGGTTCAAACTTATCCATAGTTCAAACTTATCCATGGTTCAAACTTATCCACGGTTCAAACTTATCCACAGTTCAAACTTATCCACGGTTCAAACTTATCCACGGTTCAAAATTATCCATGGTTCAATATTATCCATGGTTCAAACTTATCCATGTTTCAATATTATCCATGGTT